TGCGGCTCATGAAAGGCCTCTCAGAGACGACACTATCTCATCAGTGAATTGTTCTCAGACCCCCCACATGCGCTAGTACTGCCGCGCTAGTGATGGGTTCTTTTCAGCTTGTGTCAATCGGGTTGGTCTTGAGTCCGTATCGACAACGACAGGCCGCAGAGTTTACGAAATACCTAACGAGGCGATTGAGTATACCGGAACACAGCCAGCATTGCCGGGCGGACCGCCTCGGTCCAAATTACGGAGACTTCGTCCTCGTCCTCGTTTTGATACACGAATATGGACCAGAATATGGTGGACATTGATGTATCGTGATGTGAGCCACAAAGAGTTTCAGTCACGGACTCAATTTTGGTGCACACCGGGATTGGACATGAGGTTGTGAGCACGATTCATGTCGTGGGTTCTGTCGGCTGAACAGGCTCAAACTTAACAGCAACCTTCCATGTGGAGTGGTGCCACTAACTAGCAGCCCTGTGATAGTGAGCTGCATGCATAATTGCATGAGACAGGTGCGGACTTCTGGCAACCAGTGCGAACAGCTTGGTGATGATTGTGCTCTCAACCTACGAGTATGCCAAGTCGAGAACCATTGAACGACAATATGCCGGATCCTAGTCCTCCATGTTCGTGGCTGCTGCTCCCATTTCTCCTAAGGATTCTGACATGTCTTCGATCGGCTTCATTTTAGCTTCCTCCCCGGCTCGCGACTGATGATCGGGCCCGGATTATGACAGAGCCGTTTTCACGGCGCGCTTTGTTTCCGCATGAAGTTTTTGTCGACCAAGACTCTGTCTGGTATCGACCTCTGACTCTGTCTTTTTTCCTCCAGAGCCTCGTCTTGAATTACTTGCAACCCAACGATTGTTTAGACTGGGCATAGTTTTCGCATGATCACTCAATTCTCCGGCTGGTCGTCTAAATACGCAATGGCGATCGCTTTCAAGAACGCACCTTTCCCATTGGTCGCCTAACAATCCCAGCCGAGCACCGAAGTTTATCAAACTCTAATCATGTGTCCAGTTCGAGACAAAAGTCTTCAGAGGTTGGGCATCAAGTTCATCCATATTTTGTCTACTTCGTACGACCAAAATTGAGTTGGCGTTGTCTCCATTGTTGTGGAACAAGTGCGGCCTGACCGGAGTTCCGTTCCCATGACTAGAATTGGTGCCAGTGGTCAGGCTTAGGCTTTGCGGTTCTCGACTACCTGCATTTCAAGTGATGCCATCTGTTGGCATAGTTGACTCTACACTACGAATGCGGTAGCTCGATGCTTTCCACAACCTATGGCTGCCAATTGCGCCAGTGATCAGATCATCCGGTTCAGAAGAGCAACACTTTGAAATAATCTACGTTCGGTCAACCCGTATCTAGCAGTTACCTCAAGACCCAAGTTCCATCACCAAGCCACTATGATGGTGGATGGGTAGGGGCATGTAGAAGACCACTAGACAGGGGATCGTGAGATCGGCTTCCGCCCTGGACACCTCAGCCGTTTACGAATCACGATCAGTGTTACAGTCGACAAATCAACCCTCGAGAGTTGAAGCCTGATATGGTCGTCGTGGAAAGTTAATTTGGCTGGCCCGTGCAGTGGTCTATGAAACCGAGCATTACACAACCGCTTCTCTCTGGGAGAACACATGCCAGACCTCGTGGTAAGTTGTAAAACACATGGCTCTTTTTCCCGTCTATTTCTTGACATTGTGAGATGGATCTGGTTGATGATGAGCGCTAATTACCAAGATCCGATCCAGCCCCGTCCAGCCCCATCCAGCCTGACCTTTTATTTGCCCACTGGAACATTTATTCTTGTGAACTCGCTACGCATTTGAGGGTATTGTACCCGATGCATCAATCTGGCTAACGGTACTTTCCGTAATAGAAACTTTGGCAATTATCATGTCGGAAAGCTTTTGTGTAACTCCTTCATTGTGATTTTACGAAAGGTATCTCCGCGAGCCGACAAATAGACAGGTTGAGCAGACCCATCTCCGGTGATCCTTGACTCTTACCTATTTAGTCATTAGTCTAGAGCTAGTCGAAACTAGGTCTAAAGGGATCCACTTTGGGTGATCGCTGGTTGTTGCAGCTTGCTCAACCTGTCTAATAATGATTCGTGCTACGCTGTTCACCTGTCGCCTTTCCCCGCTTCCCTTCTCCCATTTCCCCAATTCTCCAAGTCAGAGCCCGTCCGTGGGCTTCAAAAATACCAAGACCGATGACGAATATTAACTTTCGCTTCCGATGCAGCCTTCTTATTGCCAAGGTAGGTAGTCCAGTCGTCTGACAAGTTATTCCCACGAAACGAGACTGATTGATCCAGGTAGGTCTGTTCTTTGAGATGTCAAAAACCTTGAATGCCGAAGTCCCGTTCTTCTATCGAACCCGAACGATCGCGGTTGAAGGATAACCGCATACGACCAGTAGTGACAGATCTACACGGAGCTTCCTGACTCTCGTAGTTTCTTTCAGCCTGTAAGTGGCGGTCAGGAAGCCGTCAGTCAGCCCTTGCCCATTGGAGTTTACCCAAGAGTCAGGTGGGGCCACGATGCTTGAGTCGATGATCACCGTAAGTTGTTGACCTCATCAACGAGGCTGAACATCCCAGTCCGGATTGGCTGCTGCTGCCGATCTACATTCTTGAACTAGGAACTTGGAATCTGATCTTAATTGCAAGGACAAGGTTATTGGTTGTTTTGGGTCAAGAGTCAATCCTGTCCAGCGACTGCAAAGGCTACTGCTGGCAGTTATCCGCACATCTTACTGCCGATATCCAATGTCATAGAAATACCCGAGCTCTCCTTCCCTCACGCAGTGGACGAGGCCTGTGAACCTGGCCCTGTCTTTGCTGGAGGGAAAGCGATCACTGATTTGAGCAATGAGCTGTGGGTTTTCCCGATCGCAAAGTATGTGAACTGCCGCTCAAGATCCTTCTTTTGGCAATCGTGAATCTGAAAACCTCACCGCTACTGAAGCTTGTGAACATCCCTTTCCTACTGATTATCAGCATCTGCAGCCAGGGTTATTCAAAGTGGTGTTGAAACTTCCCAAAGCTAGGCTATCGACACGGTCCTCGTGAAAAGAACAAATCGCATCTCGCAGAAGCACTTTGGCGGATCAACGGATCGGAAAAAATCACAGCGATTACGCCCTAGCCTGCCTCTCCACAACGTGGTGAGGGAATGCTAAGAAAGGACCGCCTACCCGAAGCATTGCGCGAGAATTCGTTGGTTCTAGATCTTTGACGCCCAGGATTCTTTGGGCTGGATGCAAGCACCCAGATGAACAGTGGGTGTATGGCCTGACGTTTCCACCTGCCCAGCGGCGAAAGAAGTCTTGGGCGCCATGAACACATGCTAGGCCTGAGTCTAGGCGCCGGAACAAACAAGCTGCTACTGAACACGGCACGGATCAAGTACGGTCATCTGTCCTCTAACTTGAGAGATCACTTATTCACACTACGCTAAGAAGTTCGACTCCATCGAGGAACCTTCTAGTCGGTCTTGGCCGCGAATATCACCACAGACAATACAGTTAAGGCAGCGAAGAAATCCCTTCGCAATCGACCATAGGATGTGGAAAACAGTGCTTCCCGTTCGCTCAGCTATACTTAAGCCACATGCCGGTCAGCAAGTAGTCACGTCGGTGATGAGTCGCGAAACCTGGCTGTTGATTGTTTTTGTTACGGGGGTTTGGTTTTTAGTCCCTCTGATTTGATACGGACATGGTCTAAATCTTCGTGAGGATGCGCACGAGAACGCGGCGACGCGAGTCATGGATCAGACTTTCCATCATCATATGACAGTGTCGGAGCAGATACTCCGAGCTGCTCGAGACGAGGCTCTCGCTTACCCAAGATACCTGCAGGGAGGTGCTCTAGATCCCTGCAGGCATAAACGGCACCAACGGCGCCATGGGCATTGGCGTTATCACGGTCAGGGTTATCATAAGTCTGCTGACGGCGCGGCGACAAGCGGAAAGAGCGCTTCAGATTTACAGTTTCTCAGAGGAAACTGCGAGTGACAGGTTAGACGACGGCGATGGCCCACAGAGGACGGTGTGACCAGACGCGATACGAGCTTATGGAGCCGCGGGGTTTATGAATTTATCGATCCATTTGTTGCTAGTCGTATCTCTGAACTACCATTCGACCCCTCAAGTTCTTGTCCTGAGCGGAATGTCTTTACCATAGCAGCAGTTAGCGACTAAGTGGATATCTTGGTAGAAACAGACTTTTTCAAACGGATGGGGCGCTGGATTGAATTTAACCTTAATAATAAAAATGGTGCAACTGAAGAATGTTGCGAAAGGATGTTGCTGATCCACGGTCAAAGTCTCCTGACATGGAGTCAATTTCTTTCAAGTTTCTGCCCGTTTCTCCTCGGGTCAGGCACGTGGTTCGGGTGGTAGGTTGCTTTGTGCTCTGTGATTGACCGGAGCGAGATTGCGCGGAATTCGGCGGATCACAAGCACTCATTTCCCACACCGTGAATTTTGGCCCTGCAACGAGCAGGGACTCGGAGACAGCCACCACTGATGGCCAAAGACTCGAGACACACGTCCGGATAGCACTTGGAGGTTTGGAGGGTCTAGGCCTCTAACCCTCGAATCTGCAAGGCTAGCTACTCAATTGATCACCATTTCACGACTGAGCAAGACCAAGCAAGTCGAGAACATTCCTACCTGAGAGCTGCCAAGGTGCGAGATGGTTTACTACTTCAAATCCACGGCGGTTGAGCCTGCCGCGTTCATCTACGTTGGAAAAGACAAAGTGGAAAGTGCGTCAAACATGTCACCGGAATGTGTCGTGCGGGTGATGGAATTGACCATGGATGACAGACGAAGATCTCATCAAGTTCGGTTGGGATGAGGATGTGTGGTGAGAGCAAGTTTGTTGATACTAAAGCACAGACGTAGGCTGAGATTTTGATTTCCAACTTAGGGTACTGCTGCCGGACTGTTCGTCTTGACGTTGGACTATTTGTTGCTGACTGGAGATGAAGTTCCACGTCGACAATCTGTCGAGTGCTCACGTCTATGTCCGACTTCAACCTGGTGAGAGTTGGACCTCAATCCAGCCCGGCCTGTTGGAAGACTGTGCGCAACTTACCAAGGCCAATTCTATTGAAGGTAGGTCATGCGGTCCCAAATGAATGGATGTAACCGGGAAAGTGACAGCACAATGTTTTCAGGCAACAAAAAGGACAACGTGACCATCATTTACACGCCATGGTCGAACTTGAGGAAGGATGCATCCATGGCCACGGGCCAAGTGTCATTCCATGACCAGAAGATGGTCAAGAAGATACATGTCGCCACACGCCAGAATCCCATCGTCAACCGGCTGAACAAGACGCGCGAGGAGAACTTTCCGGATCTACGAGCCGAGAGAGAAGCGGACCAAAAGGAGAAGCGCAAGGTCGAGAGGCTTGCACGGGAGCAGCAGAAGGCGGCGGATCGAGAAGAGAAGAAGAACCGAGAAGCTCTTCGATATCAAAAGGATCATGCCTATGATGACCTGATGCGAGAGGAGAATATGGTGAGCAACCAGGATCAGGATAGCAACTTTTATGATGATGATTTTATGTAAAAGACTTATCTGCGGTCTGGATGTGACGGGGCAAAAGGTAGATACTATCATTCATCCCCTTAATATGAGTTTCTCGAGAGCAGAAATTGCTCGAGTTCACGGTTGCTCTCCTGAAATTAAAGGACGATATCCTCGAGCTCCAACACGGGTGGCTTTCTAGGCGCGGAAGGCTGAAATAGAGGAGCCCAAGCCCTGAAGGTGAACCTGAAGGCTGAGGATTCAAGTTGTGGGTGAAACCTGGAGCAGCCACGTGGGTGTGACTTTGAGGAGAAGGAGCTACCGAGTACCTCGCACTTGCTACTCGTCCCCAACGCATAATAATGTACTTGGTACCTATCCTCCACCAACTCAACTCGAACCATCCCTCAATCCATCAGTCCAGTATTTTCAACTTCGGAACCTCCAGTCGGTCTCCAGACCACGCGGTACACGTACACTCGTTCTACTTCTCTCAATCGCCCACCCATTCAACTGTACCCGTGTTATTAAACACCCCATCCACGCACCCAACCCTTTCTGACCCGACTGCGCCTCGCCCTATTTCTACTTTCTCGTCATCGCCAACAACGTCACCACTACAATCAAGCAACACGCGTTCACTCCCACCTATCTCAGATCAATCAAATGGCTTCTACAGAGGTTTCCCAACGCCCTCATGGTGACTGCACTCCCCCTCTGCCTCGAATTCTCTAGCTAACCACCATGTTCCTAGACCGCCATGACCGTCGCCGTCCTTTTGCGGCTTGGATGCGCCGCCTTGCCAGTCTCAAAGCCCTGCATGTCGACTCCAACGATGCTGCTGAAGGCTCCCGTCGATCCAACATGAATATGAATAGCAAGTCTAAGAAGGGCAACGCTACGAAGAACAACCCTTATTCTCTCTCATCGCGTCCAGACCCTGCCAACAATCCCCACGTTTCCCTCTCGACTCCCCTCTCCTCCCAACGATCTCGACAAAGTTCATTATCCCAGAATCAGCACTCGATCTCAGTGTCCCATGATGGCCAGATCCAACCCAAGTCGAGGGCCCCAACTCTTGCTACAAACGCCGAAACTATCATGTCTGACGTCGCACCTTCAGGCGTGGGCACCAGCGCAACTGCTGCAAGAACAGAAGGCGGTCGGGACAGTACTTTCTCATCGCCAGCTCCTTCAGTGCGCTCTTTCGCCACTACTTTGACCACAGTACAATCTATTGCTCCACCGCATCACAATCCCGCCGCGCAAGCTACTTCCCATACCTCGAACACAAGCCATCCTACTTCGTTTCATCTCCAACCTGCTACTGCCGTACCCGCTCATCTTGCTCCTCATGGTCAACCCACTACATACCAGTCTGCCACAGCAAACAACGTCCTGACCGACGATGCCTCCATTCTTACACTTGCTTCTTCATCAAAGCGCCGCCGGCGGAATTCAGTGGATACAAATGCTTCCATGAAAGCTCTAGCCCCGGCATCCATGTTCGGTGGAAGTCGAGAATCCCTTCCTTTGTCTGTCTTGTCAGGCACCATCATCTCTCCAGGAGGCGATAACGTCTCATTGCGTGAACCAGGGACCTCAACTTACCCACGCTCAATGCTCAATGCAGAGCGCGCGTCTCTAATTTCCACCTCCGGAATTACTGCTCCGGCGTTGACTAGTGAACGAAATAGTTACATTGGCAGCAAATATGGCGATGCTGCGAGTATTCGAAGTGGACTACTGGGTGCCCATGGTCGTACCGACAGCATTAGTGGTAGCATCGGGGGAGGAAAGGAACCTCGCGAGAAGGAAAAGGACAAAGATCGTGATGGTGTAATGGTCACGGCTCCAACTAGCCCTTTACTCGACGGTCCAGGAACAGGTTCAAATTATGTTACAGCCTTGGGGGATGTGTCCGAGGCTTTGGACAGTGAGAAGAAGAGAATGGAAGAATGACCGATGGTAAGTTCTAGCCGCAAGAGGTAGATGAATGATGAGACGTTGCTCATGGACGAGAAATGCACGAGTAGAGGCATATGAGACATTGACGGAAGAGAAAAGATGATACCCCCATTTTGTAACTGGACATATGCATTGGGCTGCACTGGAGTAGATAATGGTATTGATACTGCGTATTCCATCTGATTGACATCGTCCCCTGCCTCCATATCTCGATCCCCTTCCCTTACTACAACTCTCTTCACCACATCAGGCTAAAGAGAAACACCCGTCCACGAGTACCTTCACTCTATCATGAGTCTACACCTACACGACAGGGATAGGCAGCCCAAGCCTGGTCTCTACCAAACATGAAAACCAGACGAGGTGTCGATCCGGTCCCGCGGGATCCAGCTCGTCGAGCCACTCTGGGTACAGTGACTCGCGAAGCCATTAACATTTACTAGAGAGAGGAGAGAGTTCTGCGTGGACGGTATGCTATAGCTAATGGAAGGCCTCTCGTGACGCGATGGGTCACGGTCAGTGAGAAGTAGGCGAGCGATAGGAGCTTGTGCTGCTTGTGTTTTGTTTTCGCCGACGGTCAGGGGGGTCGGGAGAGAAACGAGACAGGACATGCAAAGGGACGGGTTCAACACCTTGGCAAAGACAAGAACGGACCTTCGTGGAAGCATAGGGATAGCGAGGTGTGTATAATAGTGGCATAGCCGAGAGGAGGGGCAATGGGCACGTGCTGGGGAGAAGGGCCGTAGAGGGCGTGAAGACCAGAGCAGTGGATCGCCTTCGTCGGTGCGAGCCTTGGGAAGGCAGGTTATCGTCCTGATACACGACGGGTCGCTGACGTTGCCACTCAGGGGAGCTCCAATGTGGAGACTTAGCCAGGACCGAGAAGGAGAAGTGCAACAAAAACCCAGAGGGGCCAGACGTGGAGCTTGGGGGTGGCTTCTGTACCAGCAGTCAGATAGGGAGCTATCGGTCTATGGTGGTGTTGTCTTCGAAGGGGGGATGTTTGTCGAATGTCAGCTGCTCTTCTGCCTCATGGCAGGACTCGGGGCAGTCGTCGTCTCTCGGAGGTGTTCGCAGTATTTCTTCTGACGAAATCCCTGTGGATTTACCTGTACGAAATTGGGGATCAGAATCAGGGATCATCAAACCATGATGGTCGGAATGTCACAAGATATAACTGCCACCAATGCACTGGGCTTTCACTCTGGGAGTTGGTATCTCCTCACAACCCGTATCACTTCGCTGCTTCTGGTGCAATCGCAAGACTGAATGCCGAAAGGCTGTCCAACCTCAGCGTGTGCGGCTTGTCTCCTCAAGGAGTCAACACCCGTGAGTTTGTTCTTTGACGTCAATCAAGGATGGATTCATGCATTCTGACTGGTGATCGACGTTGAGTCTGAGGCACATCTCTCAGAAGGAAAAAATAAAGCAAGAGATGAAAAGGGAGGAAGTACTTTCAACAATCAGCATTCGAGTCACAAGGTATGTACTCTGTTTGTATTTCGAGTTTTTTCGCTTTAAACATCACCTTGTGTTGACGTCCACCAGCGCATCAAAGTCACAACTTATCATTCTTCGAGATCTTGCTGTCTCGGCCAAAATGGCGCTCCACCTCTGGCAAGGTTTTACTCCCATCGCTGAAGCTCATGTTGTCGATGACCACCTTTGCCTGCTCAAAGAAGCTCATTTGAATCATGTTCTGGATTGACGATCGGATGATGATCATTTCCACTCCCTTCCATTTGCTCGATCGCATTGCGGCTTGGGTCAAGGCCGCGCTGGTGGCAGATGAGGTTGATGGGCCCTTCGTCGTCTTTGTCGCTGCGGAGTTCCCGGTCGCTACCAGATTGTTTTGTGCACGGGTCTTCATCGTGTCTAACGGGTATGTCTGTTGCGAACAGTGTTAGTAAGAGGTTTATTGAAAATGATGTTAGACTTACCACTACCCAAGCGCCAATGCCACAGATTGCCCCAGCAATAGCAATGGCACCAGGCGTGTTTGCTTTCTCCGCACCATAATATGAATTCAACGACTGCTTGGTCGTCTCGTACACACCGAAATAGATACCACTACCAATGACGTCTCGAAGCAAATGCAATCGGAAACCTGTCCAAAGTCCAAAAAATCCCCGTCTTTGAATGATACGTTTCGTTGATTGCCATGAACTGACACGTCCGTAGTTCTTAGCCAACGGAGCTGCCGTGCCTGAAGTGGGTTTGGGGGTGGCGGTAGTTGAGGAGGAGGATGCCATGAGCACGGAGGATTGGGTAGCGTTCTTGATCAACTCGATGGGAGTCAGTGCGAGTGCCATGACACCTCCAGATATCATGCCTGCTCCAGTAAAGCAAAGTAATGTCGCTGGATTGGGGTATGTGCCTGGTTTGTTGACATGTTGAAGCGGAGACGAGCCTGTACCAGCTTCGATCCAACTGTCGAGAGTGTATTTCGCCTTTCTGTAGATCGAAAAGCCTAGGGCTCGGCTTGTGGTGATTGAGACGAGTGGAGAAAAAGTGCCGGCCCAGAAGCCTCGAATGCCTTCAGTTTGAAAAGTGTGCTTTGTGGCTTGATATGCATTGGGGAAGTAGCGGCTGATAGGATTGTTAGTTGTTAAGAAGAACCTGTTGGGATACACTTCTTCATCACTTACGATTGCATTCGGACTTTGACATTCTCGAGAGGAGCCTTTGTTGAGTTAGTCGTGGTTTCTTCTGCGAAATAGTATTAAATTGGACAAACTCACACCAGCGATCACAGCCAGAGCACAAGCAGGTGCGGATGCAAGTGTCTGCCTGTACTTTTTGGCATAGTATATTCGAGTATCTGGAGAATTCCAATCCGTGTCGACCTTTGGTTTGCGAGACATTTTTAAGGGTGGTTGAGAAGACTTGGACGGTAGTTTTGATGTTGAATCATGGTTCAGAGGAAGGTGGCGAGTGTCGTCGTCCTTAGTAGCATGGATCATCGTGGGTGACTATGATCTTTTGTAGAATCCCTCGGCGTAAACCAAGTTATCCAAGTCACCTCGCAATATCCCCTACTCCTCGCTTTCTTGATATTTGGTTTGGGCTGCGGAACCCGATGGAACGCAAGAAGATCTCTCAATCAAATGAGCAGATCTCTACGCGTTCCACAATCCATCGATTGCCGCCTTATAAGCGATTCTCTTTCTTGTCAGAAGCCACAGAGGACAACTGAAGATCGAAGCACAAGACCACTGAAGTGTCCTTAGGCGGCTCCGAAGCGTATAAAAAAGAATGGTATCGTGTGGATACAATGTAAAGGAGTTGCCTGTGTCTGTGGTATGTTCCAGGTATGTTCTGGCTCGTTCACGACTGTGAGTCGAATGGACAATAGCTTGGCCTGAAGCTTTTGAGTTGGTAGGTACCAGTCTCGTCGGATCGAGAGCAGTAGCAACAAAATGTTGGGCGTTGTCAAGTCTGGACGAGAAAGAATCGGAACGGTGCAGGACAGGTTGGCACGAGCATTGAAGCTATAACGAATCTCCCAGTCAATGACTCGCACAAAGAGAGAAGTGAAAAGGTCAGTCTGATACTGCTGAAGTGTAGACCGAGGAGTACAGCAACAATGGAATGTGCATGTGCCTCGCAAGGGTGTCTGTGGTCATATTGCTCTTCTCAGACAGACATTTGGACAAAGCAAGAGACAGTTGCTGGTTGGTTTGGAGCAAATTGTGGGGGGTGGGCTGGATGCCAATCACCCAATGGCACCTTCAGGAGATAAGAGGGGCATTGTGCAGACAAAGCAATGATGACTGTTGTGCCAGAGGAAACATCCTGATTTCTGACGTCGGTGCCCAAAGCCTTGAGGACAAGCCTGAGAAGGCATGCGTTAGGGCTGCTAGGGATCCCTGGACCCCAGGACCACCCCTATTGGCACCGGTAGGCACTCAATCCGCACCCATGGACACTCGTGATTTCTGGTTGGTTTGACCCCACAACGGCTCTTGGACGGCTGTCCTCTCCGCAATGGTGAGCCACTCACAGACATTTGGAGGTGTACAGTCAACACTTCCCAATAGCTAATCATTGTGTCATGCAGGATTGGGAGTGTTTCAATGATGATCATTGGCGGTCAAGCATCCTCGTGGGGACCAAAGCGCCATTTGAATATCGTGGAGGAATAGTGTCAGTGACGGGAGGACTGGTGTTGAACCAGAATCACACTATGCGACACCGTAGAATTCTACGGCAAGTCATCAGGCCCAGGACGAATAATATACGGTGAGCCTCAACAGCTTTAATGCACTCGTGGACGACTCAGAGGCCCAGACTGAGGCTGACAGCATTTCGGTTTGACTTGGGGGGCCTCGGCTGACAGAAGCTCCCCCGCAACGCTTATGCTCCAGAATGAACTTGTCCACTGGCCGCTGTCCGAACATTTTTGGGAGCACCGAGAAGCCGAGGAAGTCGGACTTGCGAGGCACTAATCAAATAAATAGATACATAACCGCACTCGCATGACTGCGAACGGTTGATTTTATCTGTGAACCATTACTTGCGAATCTCGAGTACATTCCCATCTCCTCTGTACATTGTCAATTCAGGCTGCCATCAAGTAATCAATAACACCGCACCTCCTACCGATTCCCCCACCCCCATCATGCCTCGCAAAGCCGCCCCAGCCTACGTCCTCGGCGTGGGCATGACAAAGTTCATCAAGCCTCGAGGAAAGGTCGACTACCATGAGGTTGGCTTCGAAGCCGGTGTCAAAGCCATGCTCGATGCCCAGATCAATTATGATGACGTTGATCAAGGTATTGCCTGTTACTGCTATGGCGATTCTACTTGCGGACAGCGAGTTTTCTATCAATTCGGAATGACCCAGATTCCTATCTACAATGTCAATAACAACTGCTCAACCGGCAGCACTGGGCTGAACATGGCACGACAAGCTATCGCATATGGCGCCGCTGATTGTGTTCTTGTCGTTGGCTTCGAGAAGATGTCTCCTGGTAGCCTACAGAACTACTTCAACGATCGCGAGCCACCTACCAGCACGACGAACAAGATTATGCTAGAAACAAGAGGTGTAACTAATGCTCCGGGAGCCGCTCAGCTATTCGGCAATGCTGGCCGTGAGTACATGGAGAAATATGATGCAAAGGCTGAAGATTTTGCCGAGATCGCAAGAGTCAACCACGAACATAGCAAGCGAAACCCTTACTCTCAATTTCAGCAAGAATATACTCTGGAAGAAATCCTCAAGTCACCCATGATCTTCTCCCCTCTCACTAAACTCCAGTGCTGTCCGACGTCAGATGGTGCAGCTGCAACGGTCGTGGTTTCGCAAGAGTTCCTCGACAAGCGACCGCACCTCAAGTCTCAGGCTGTCCTTATTGCAGGTCAACAGCTCGCCACTGACTCCCCAAATCTCTTCAATAAATCATCAATTGAGCTAGTCGGCTACAGCATGTCTGAATTTGCTGGAAAGGAGGCTCTCAAGCAGGCTGGCATCACTCCCAACGATGTTAGTGTCGTAGAGGTTCACGATTGCTTTAGCGCCAATGAATTAGTGACGATTGATGCTCTTGGGCTGTCTCCCAAGGGTAAAGCACACGAATTAGTACGCGCCGGTGGTATCACGTATGGAGGAAAATATGTCATCAACCCCTCCGGTGGATTGATCTCCAAGGGTCATCCTCTCGGTAAGTCATTATTCATTACACCACTCATCCACCCGTCGACAGATTCTAACAAATCAAATAGGAGCTACCGGTCTAGCACAGTGCGCCGAACTCGTATGGCATCTACGAGGCTGGGCCAACAACCGCTTGGTCAAGGATACCAAATATTGCCTACAACACAATCTTGGCCTAGGAGGCGCTGTTGTATGCACCGTCTACAAGCGTGCCGACGGACAGGCCGCAAAACCAGTATCAGACGAGGAAGTTGCTAAGATCACCGGTCTTGGTTACAACCCTGCAACTCAGGCCAAGGGATTCACGCCCGCACAAGCCAAACAGGCCGTATCTCAGAAACAATTCTCCGACTGGGCCCTACAGGACGTGGGAACAAAGGTTCAATCGAGGTTTTGAAACCTTGTCTCCTAGCATGATCTATGTATGAGCAGCGGTATATAGGCATATTCATGAATAAATGGACATATTTACGGGCATGACCTGATCTCAGTCGACACCATCGCAAGAACAGTTCCTAGCCAGAGGATGAGTCTCACAAACAATACAATTCCCAAGACGTCTTACGCCTGCAATTCAACTTGCTCACGTCATGTCCTTGCTTACTCGTTTGCCGTGCCCATTGCTGATCGGAGCCGAGTATATACGTATCACGCATGCCATCGCAAGTGGACCTTTTCCTTAGGCTTTCCCGTGCCTTTTTGCACCCTTACTTGGGCAAGTATTGCACCGTGACCTCCTTCGGTATCAATCACAGAATACGATATAAGACTACCTTAACTATTTAGATGAGGCCCCACCCACTCATGTGCTAACTCTGATCTCGCAAATCTCGCAAATCTCGCCAGGATTTCTCCTTTGCCTGTCCTGGGGCTTCTCGCCCAGCAAAGTAAACAAAACTCATGATTTACATCGAGTCTGTTACCGAAAAAAAAACATGTATATCTAGTATTTCAAGCTCTGTACACATTATCCACGAGGGGCAAAAACAATCAACAGCCAGAATTCGCAACTCGTCACCGACGTCACTACTACCTGGCCGGCATGTGGTTTGAGGACGGCTGAGCGGACGGGAAGCCCTATTTTCCACATCCTGTGGTCGATTGCGAAAGGGATTCTGAGAAATTGTGCTATGTACTACCTGTTTCTCCTAATTAGTACTGCACACTAACTGTAGGTGTAACTTCATGGGACATGGACTTACATCAGCTCAATTCAACTAACTGTTGAATGAGCCTGTAAATACTCTTTCTATGAAGCTTCAGGTGAGTTGCATTGATTCGTTCGTAGTATATGCTTTTTAGTCGAGAATGGATTTGGATGGAAATTTGACTCGGTCTTGAGGTCCAGATTTCAGCGAGGTGAAGCACGAAGGCACCTCTAAACCGGACCCTTGTGGCCGTTTCTTCTGAGTAGCTTTCATTGAATGATCTTGAATCAGCATATGGATAGAGGCGTGTGGTCAAAGAGCCCTGCTAGCATTGGCTGCAGTGTCTGGAGCTAGAGCGGTCGTGGCCCTTTAGACCAATAAAATCGTGTTCAGCTCTTCCATCGGGAGACGTCTGACGATTATTCCAACTGTATCATGGCGTTCCCGGATGCAGTTGAATTTGACCCAACAGTTGTGTGAGCTTCAGCAGGGAAAGAATCGATATCAACCAGTTTGCTCCGGTCGGTACGTAGGAACATATCACCTGTCGTTTCCATTTGGGGCGGCTAACTTGTAAGTCGCAAAAGCTAAACGGTGGGATCAAAGTTTTCAAACTTTCGGTGTGGTCTTTTCAGCTTCCTTTACCTTTGTCGCTTCGTTCTCCAGAACTAAAAGACTGCCGGAAACAGCGATGGCAATACAAGTGACAGCCATGAGAGTCACCCCACCGGTATTGGGTCTGAATTTCCCTTCCTGTAGCAGTCTTAGTGTGCTGAAGTACCTTTGAGTGCCATGTGCAACACAGAGACTGCCACTTCCAACAAGGATACCAGCGGCGACTTTGGTCCTTGAGTCCGATAAATGAAGCAAGGTCGGAGAAATGGCTGCGAAGGCTTCCACTTTCTCTAGTGCTACACCCAATGCGATAAACCCGAGACCACTTCTAGCCCATGCGAGGAATGTCCTTTCCGAGGCAAGTAGATCTCTGGCCACGGATCCTGTGTTGGGGATAGGAGCTGCCCTGATGTATCGTAGGATTCGAGGTAACATACTTTGACTGTCTTAGAACATGATAGATGGATTGAATAGACAACGTTTTGAGTAATGGTTCAACGAGACATCTTAATCATTCATATGTAAACTGGAGCGCTCCACTCCCTCGTCGTTCAAGAGAGCTCTGTAGAGCCGTCGAAACACTAGTCACTTCATGATATTTAGGCGAGAAGGGGAAGGTCTGCCGAGGCACATTCCGAAGAAAGCACCATGTCAACTAGACGAAACGAATTCCTTCCTCTTCAAGGTAAGTCTTGCTTTTCACTTCGGACGCTAGGTCTGGTGTTGACCAAACCAGGGATTCCATGCCGAACCTACGATGTCAAACAAAGGTGATTTCAATGATGACGAGTACGTCGCTAAATTGCTGGCTGAGGACGCCCGCAAAAGTTCGATCCGATATTCTTCGATGGGCATGTCCGCTTTGAGAGCACAAAGGTAAGGAGTCAGCATCTCCGCCCCGACACCCGTGTCTCTAATCTGCATGTTTCCGCAGGCCAGGTAATTCCGTCCCAAAGCCCAATACACGATTCTTGAAGAACCTTGTTCGAGAAGCCGATTCTCACAATGCCGCGCTTAAGAAAAAGGAAGAATTGGAGGCGCGGATACGATTGAGGAATATTCGAGAGAAGGACTCAGGATTTGGAGACGGCCTTGTGTCTGAAAGACCTTCGAAAAAGCGGCGTGTGAGCGATGAAAACGATCATTCAAGGTTAAACAACCAACACCATCGGAGAGACGAACCACGACGAGAACGACGACATGGGAAATCAAGGTCCAATCGATCGAGAAGTCCAGAGTCTAGACACCGCGACGGAAGGAGACGTCATGATGGTGACCCTGAAGATGATGACCGTCGTCACAAAAACGACAGAGCCACGTCTCATAGGCACCGGTCGAGGTCGCATGAGAGAAGAAGTCAGAACGAGGGCCGGTCGAAACACATTGACACGAATCGACAAAGGAAACGACGCGATTCTCATAGCGATAGCGGCCAAGACCAATACTCGGAAAGATCGCGACATCGAAGGACAGAACACAAGCACACGCGCCATCGATCAGCATCTACCTCATCAAGCACAACTTCAGACCCGTTAGCTACGATCATCGGGCCCCTTCCACCCAAAAACGATTCATCTACAATATCCCCTCCCCGTCGAAGAGGCCGCGGCTTCCACAAACCGAATGGTGCAACATCAAACATCGACCACCACTTCTCCACAGCATACAACCCATTGAATGACACACCTCTCGGTTACGATGCATCCGACGGAGACGACTGGGACAACGCGCTGGAAGCCCTGCGCGACCGTCGGGCCTGGCAGAACAAACAAGCTGATCGTATGCGCGAAGCCGGATTCGGAGACCAGGAGATCGAGCGCTGGGAGAAGAGCGCCTTGACGAAGAGAAACTTGCTTGGCGACGGCGCTGCTGATGATGACAGAGATATCCGAGACGTGAAGTGGCGGAAACGAGGCGAGGGGAAGGAATGGGACGAGGGTAAGATTAGCCTCGCGGACCAAGACCACGATAATCATAACGATAATCATAATCACAACGATATAAAGGCTTCGCCTGGCCGACTTTCTAATGCCGACCCTTCCACGTCAACCACCGCGCGATCACGTATGGAAACCAAAGCTGGCGCCAGTGGAAGAAGCGATGCAAGTCAGAAACGAAGAGACGACGTATGGCAGCGCAAAGACAGCGGATTCGTCAAACAATTCCGCAAAGCTCTTGGATGAACGCATGATGGAAACAACATATTGCCCAGGACCCTATCGAAGAATCATTGGATATTAGTTATCACCGATGTGATTTCTAGAGAAGATGTCCCATGAGATGCACTTACATCCAGCCGAGGATTTTGAGGAGCATTTGGGGCGTCATATTCTTGCACACAGTTGGCAGTAGCATCTTAGCATAGTTGGGGTGAACAGGCGATGCAAATCTTCTGGAGCTAAGGTTTCAAGTTCTTGATGTGGGTTTCGCGGACCCGATCCTTCTTATCTTCGTACCTCAACTCAGCGCTCCACAATGAACTGGGATTTCCAGCAGGACAGAGAGCAGCGCATGAATTGGAAGTATCAAGTACTCAATCAGCAGCACCTTCGTGCACAGATAAGATAAAGCATCTTTCTAAGACGGCCACTGGAAAATCCATGCCGGCAATGATTTACACCGGGTTCCCATCCAAGCAAGTCGATGGAATCTTCAAGCAAGCTTAAATAAAGTCTTTGGCATATGTATGTATATGGGAACAAAGAAATCGAACCAGGAGAGTCGCAACAGTAGCTCATGCCGTCAATCTTGTGGGGTTGCTCATCAGCGTCAACTCTCGGGATGATTAAGATCAAGCTTTGTTTCACGATCAAGCTTCAAAGTGGCAAGACTCGTACTGTATAAGTTTAGATATAAGTAATTCTGTCTGTCTGTCTTCATGCCTGCCTGCTTGCCTCCTTTTGGGGTTTTTGTTTGGCTTGGTCTGGTTTTGGTTCGGTTTCTGTTCAAACATAGCCAGCCTTAGCCTGAAGCACCACGCCATGCCGTGTAGGGTGCTTGCTTATGCAGTGCCGGCAATATACCATAGTGTGATCACCAACACACCACCACCAGCCCAGATTAAACTCGTGCTTTGTTGTCCCTTTACTTTCCCTTTAACATGGCCACAGAAATATAAAACACAAGGTGGCGTCGAGTAGGTGAGAGCCGTGGCCATACATAATAACGCTGCAATCAAACAAACATGAAAATCCACCGACATGATTTCGTCCGTTTTCCCAAACAATACTTCTTTTCAAAGTCCCTTTCATCGTCCGCCACTTCCTTGGCTGTCCGGTCGATCATCAACTCCCACACTCTTTTCGCTTTTGTTTCGCTTCCAAAAGGCAAGTCCCAATTTTAGCTTGCTCCGCCGCCGACCAACAGATCGGGTGCTTGCTTTTCGATCCCGGCTAGCAGCCTCGTCAACTTCGCCATTACTGAGTATTGTGGCATGAACATCGAGTTTGCTGCTCTCGCGACTGGTGGCGCTGTTGCTACCTAGACTGAAACTAGGCCTCATGATTGGGCTCCCAGGCGACAATGGTGCACTCGCAGCACGATTCCGCATTGCCTGAAAGCTGCTTTTGATTCGTGAATATTCCTCACTCCTTTCTGAAGCATAACTTGAAGCTTCGGTGCTCTGGATGGGTGTTAGAGCGTCGTTTGTGCCTCCACCTCTCTGCGCCACATTGGTCACTGCTTCATTCACTTGACTCTGAGCCTGCCTCGCATCATCAGCACCAACTAATTTAGGGTTCTGGTGCTCCGTATTACCTGTCGGAGCGCTGGCTCTCGTATCGGCGTGTGGCGCATCATAAACTTGTTGTGGATCAAAAGTTCGTATTGGCTCATCCTCCTCTGACGTCGCAAAATTGAATTTGGACAGTGCCTGTGCTGAATCTTCTCTGCTCTTTTCATCCTGCAATACAGATTCGGGCAATGTCTCTGTGCCAGCTCGCATAGAGACTGTATTGTCCCTCCTGGTATCATTGAGACTTTGTTCAGACTCATCTGACATGTCCAGTTTTGTGGTCGTCACCTTTGGCGTGCTTGAAGATTCAGCTCCATCAAACGAAGATAGTTTCGAAATATGCTCGCCGTTAACGAGACCCGATTTTCTTCGGCTTTCTGTATTTGGATTGGCCTTTGCTGAAGGTGATCTGCCACTGGCGGACATGGTGGTATCTCCTGACACCGGGATAGCGGCAGCTGCTGCTAATGATGAACCCCTAGATTTATCTGGAGGTGTGCGTGTTCCAGTCTCACGACCTCTGCTGGATTCAACTTGATCTAGACTCCTTCCATTCTCTGGGGTGTTTGCACGCTCTCGCAAAGGGGATGAAGGGAAGATGGTATGATCGGGTGTCGACTTGCGACCTGCGGGACTCTGGGTTCTGGGACTAACAGCACCACTGTCGCTTAAGCCCCCACCCTGCTTGTGCAAGACCTGTTTTCTTTTCTCATGCTCTGCCCTGGTGAACCAGACCCCTTTGTTGGTCAAGATCTCATCCGCAGCAAAGCGCATGGCTGGAATGATGTCGGCCACATTTGCAAAGAGTGGATGGGCAAAAATTGTCATAAACCCAATCTGGCCATTCGCCAACTTGAGCATGTTCCCAATTTCCGGTGGACCACCAAATAATGTTGTCTCCATACCAACAGCTGATTCCATCTGCCCTTGATGTGCGAATTCCTCCTGCAGTAAGTGTGTCCACTGTTCGGCCACTGCCCATGGTCGTGCCTGAGTAGGTTAGTCTTTCAGATCTTCAGCAATATAGGCATACATCACTTACAACGTTGCTAATATCGGCACATTTTATCAGCAAGCCACATGTCAACGTCCTGGCCCATTCAAGATCTTTAGGTGCCCAGCCGTCAGTGGAACCACTTGAATGTATCTTCTCCTGTAGATTACCCAGCTTGCCCATGTAATCAGCATGAACACCCATATCGGTGGCCAAGATGGTATCGATCATGAGTTTACGGAGGACCTTGTGTTGAAAAGCGGCGGGCCAGTGTCGTCTCAAAATCTGTGAATAGGCGGCACAATGGAATGCCTCGAGTACTGATTGATCGTTGTAGAGCTGGGCCAATGGGGCGTTCAATTTAACCAAGAACATGTTATTGACACCTGGATGGCCTACATCGTGACCGATAGCAGAGATCAAGAGGCTGAGAGCTTCGAACGGACCAACAAGGCGCGCAATCGGAGACTTTTGACTGGCATAAGGGGGCGCTGGGGCGCCTTCGGGATATGGCGGGAGTGCGCCTATGGCCACGAGGAAATAAAAGACGGATTGAAGGACGTCAACAGCGTGCCTGAAATTGTGGTATAGCACGAAGGAGTTGTAAGCAACTCGGCAACCTTGCATAAAATGAAGCAAGTCCGCTAAGCAAAAATATCAGTGACTATGCTCATCCGGAAGCGAGAATGACTGGTGTTTACCTTGAGGCATTCGCCAATGCTCTGCGGCATCCATCTTGAGGGCGTGGTTGAGAATGTAATAGCCAGCATAGACCAGTTCGTCTTCGTTGAAGTCGTGCCCACAAAAATCCCAGCGGCCAATTGCTTTGGCGACCACATCTTTTCGATGCTCTTGAATGTAGAGGTTGCGATGCTGGTAATCTTCAATGATGTTTTGTGGTTCGCAGATGCCTTTGAGCAGTTTCTTAACCATGGCTTCTCGGAGATACGCATAAGGCTTTTCCTCCTCAACGCCTACCCAGGATTGTTTGCGACCTCTGCGAGACATTGCCATGAAGCCCGCCTGCTCCTTCTTGGCACTTTTGTAGATACGATATGCATGCACTGTTAGACCCATGATCCCCGCTTTATCTAGCGGGCTCTTGACAACATCGAGAGCACCGGCATCGAGGCATTGTAGCATTAACTGGGCATCGATAATATCTGAGTGGTCGCTGATCTCAACGGGCGTGGCCTCGCGACCTAGTGGGGCTCTCGTGACGCTACTCGGACGAAGATGGTCAAGAATCTGGTCGTGGGAATCTTTTCTCCGGGGCTGTACGATCGCAACGGGTATAATGAGCTTGACACCTTCCTCGACCTGAAGATCTGAAGCTATTCTCGATAGTAATTGCAGGCCGTGGGATTCGTCAGACTCGGAGGAAAAGGTGATGGCTCGACTGAGCAGGTTGGGTGACGGTAGTGGAGAGTCAGAGACTGGAGAGAACTTTGTACGCGATGAGCGCAGGAATTCGACTTTTGACTCGGAGCCTATGTCAAAACAGGCGAGGATTGGGGTACAGTCCAGCTTGACCTGGTCATGAAGCTCGGACAGCTTGGTGGAGAAAGCTCGACCGGAGGAACAAACGTAAACTGAAAGTTAGTTCACATGTCAGCTTTTCTGTCACCATAAATTGTCGCCGACGATTGAATGTTGGCCTACCTTGGTTGAAAACGCTTAGAAAGGCGTTGACATTGGTCTGCAAGTCGGGAGGGAGGTCGGAGAATTCTCCATGCGAGCCGCTTCTTTGCGGTGTGCTGGGAGACAACCCGTCCCTCGAGATCCATCGTTCACCATTGAACCGCTCATCGATATAGATGACTCGGCAAGCGCTGGGGTCCATGGTCGAATGTATGCTGAGGATGTAAGAGACGAGGCACTCTTGTTTCTCCCAGGGCCCTATTGGCCCATTATGTTACTTGGGAAAGATCGTGTGGCCTAGTGCTGAAGAGTAATATCTGTAAACGAGCTTGGTCCCTGTCGATGGAAGGCTGCGTTAGGCGAAAAGGTCGGCTGATCAAGGGCTGTTATGGCAGAAGCATAGCGCGCGTTTGCGCGGCGATGGCGGAGTTTCGCAAACAACAAGAGGTATATAGAAGGCGCGAGGGTGCGCAGGCTTGAACAGCTCAGCGACAAACAGTGGCTGTCAAGGCCAATGTGGTTGTATAGCGAAGCGAACGGGCAAGAGATGCCGGTGTCGCAGAATGAATGGAGGAAGTTGAGGAATGGAGAAGGGCGGATTTGGGTGGTGGAAAGACAGGTGTCAAAAGGTTGTCGAGTCGTCGGGTGGCCGCAGGTGTCGACGAAGGAGGAGGTGGGTGGTAATGGCGATGGCGATGGAGGTTACAAGCTTGCAGGGTTGGTGAAGCACAGCAGAAATCAAAGCGGCTGAAGAGGAAGGAGCAATCGACTGTTGTTGTACCACCAAATCCCACTTTCCTGGAAGGGACCAAGGCTCGTACTATTACGGACCTTTTCTGTATAGAAGAATTGAGTTCAGACAGTCAAGAGAGTTGATAGAGCGATGTGTGGAGTGAGGAACAGGAGTAGGAGTGGAAGGAATCGACCAGAGGCAGCTTCAAACACATTCCAACATAGCACCTGAGAGAGGGCAGGTAGGTAGTGAGCAGTGAGCAGTGAGCAGGTACGAAAAGTATGTAATAGTATCCGCAAGTGGCAGTGGAACTACAGGGCTCAGATGTCCAAGACGAACAAGAGTCTGGAAGAGGGCTCGTTAGGCCGAGCAGGAGCGGGCAATGGTCTGCGTTTCTTTTGTCTATGTGGCTCTGAGCGAAGCAGTGTACTCGGGAGTAGCTACTGGCAGGCTGGGGGGTGGAGGGTATTGGTTTTAGTGGCACTACACGCACTCGTAGTCTCGTCGACTGCCCTTGGAGGCGTTCGAATGCGGAGCAATGGCCAATGACAAGCACTGTCTAGCAGTCCAAGGCCCCAAGTGCACGGCAAGTCCTTCTTGATCAGTTCAAGTGCGGGTTTTGTCAAGCTGGGATGCCTGCAGCCTGAAGCCTGGAGACTCGGAGTCGGAGAGTCGACCCAGACCCAGCTGGCGAAGCTCTCCAGGGAACAGTCGTCGAACAACTTTAGCCCTTCTTTCTATCGCTTCCCGCCTACGGCCACTAACTCTACTGGCAGTCTTACGGAGGAGGGGCCCTAAAAGGCTGCAGCCCGCTTCCACCCACTGCAGTGACCCAGCCATTAGTATGAGTACGGAGTACTCGTGCGCCAGTTGTCAATGGTCACTGCAGTGTTGCTCACTTCCCCACCAACTCTGAACTACGAGTACGAGCCTTCCGTCATCCCTTCCATGACTCCCGGTCTCCAGATCACCCCCCAGTTCCAGTCGTGCCCAGGCGCCCATCGTGCCCATCGTGCCCATCGTGCCCATCGTGCCCATCACCTCCAAGGTTCAAGTTTCCATAGCCCTTCTAGAAGCCTCAACTCAGCTGCCAGCCTGCCACTCGATGGGCTCCACGCACACCACATGTTTGACCTTGTCCCATTCATCCAAAACCTGTGCTGATGATTTACATGACGACGGTACGCATCCCATGTCATTCAGTCCAGCGAGTCACTACTACTGGTTGGGTACTTTCTGCTCGCGTCAAGACTCACTCAAAGCCAGCAGGCTGATGTTTCCATTATCACATGAATGCTTGTCTCCTCCGTTGCATCCGAACAATTTAGCGGTGGCCAGGTGACCAACATCATGCAATTTTTCAAAACCCTATCAGACCGTCCTGGATGTTGCTGCAAATCATACTCTGCTTCGGGCCATGCACAAGACCAATCTAGGCAGGGAATGGTGTTGTGCCTCTATCTGTGACAGTCTCCGTATCTCGCTACTTGTCGATCAAGAGCCCATCCCACTGAATCCCGTACACTGTCGATCTTGGAATCAGGGGTCCCAATTCCACCTCTCGACTTGGGCGCAGATCTTTATCAGAGTCCTGGCCAAACATCGACTGAGCCCTGTCTCTGACCCCAAACCTTGTCCTGACTTCTGTTTCAATTGCTCTGCTCTGCTCTTCAGCTCCACATCTGGAACGTTTTCCGTGAGCTCTAGCAGGCTCACATGTTCACACACGCAGGCCATCTCCATGGTTATTGCAATAGAGCACCGCCCGTCACTGCCCTTTCCACTGCATGCATAGTCCCTGTGTGCTACGCCAGAAGGGTTCCTTGCCATGGCCCCTAAGCCGAGCATGAAATCGTCATCGTCCTCGGTTGCACTTTCATGGTGGTATCGTCACTCTTCACTCCAATGACCTCCACCTTTAGCGTTCAAGACTAGCCGCCTGTTTGAATCTCTTAGCCAGGCCTTCTGATGGGCTCTCAGGATTGGAATGTTCGCTGTCTGTTTCTAACGACCAAGCACGCTTCAAGGGCCGCTCACCATATGAATCGAGTATTGCCATCAACGTTCCCCAACCATCTGTCTCGGTCAGATGAGCTGCGTCTATTTGGTCGCCCGTGGTGGCCACTTTGCAAAGTAGTTTCTCCTCATCCTGAACAAAACCAAGTTAGAAGAATTTCACAAAGAATCACGAGACTTACCTCGGCGAACACTCCCATGCCGTGGAGAAAACACAGCAAATGGAAATCTGAAACTGCATCCAACTTCTTTGTGCTAAACTGCTTCGCCACATCTCTTGGATCTTGCCCCTCTGCCACTGCTTCTCGATTCTCCACAGGGAAACGACTGTTTTTGAACAATGGTGATGGTTCAATGGGCATCCCTGCCGTCAGTGACACAAGTAGGTACTCGACTGGGAAACTCGGCTTCGCATTTTCTTGCACATTAGCACCGTACTCGTTGATGCGTCGATAAAACACTTCAGGAATGTATCGTGTGCGAGATCCACCTATCTGATCATCTTCTGATTGAACCAGCATTACAGTCGGGTCTGCTGAAGGTTCCACAATATCGGCTCGTACCATTTCCACGGCTGTGTTTGATGCCTGGTATGCTTTGATAGTGATACTTTCGTCTTCATCTCCAGTAACCACACAAGTGACAAAACGAGATCCGAATCGACCTGTCTCGCTCCATTTTGAAGGTGTGGGATACTGGCCTTGAAGTCTCGCAGCAAATGCAATTTCTAACGACGGTAAGAAGTAGGAATCAATGTGACGCCGGCATAGAGCTTGTCCAGTCTCATTCTCCGGAGGCATGAGATCAGTGTATATGACTCCCACGCGCTCAAGACCACATGCTCTGGCCACGGTATCAACGTCCTTCTCGTTTGTCCACTCCAGTAGCGTCAAGCCATCAACCTCGGATAACTGTGGTGGTTCGTAGATAGCTTCCACCACAGCCTTGGTTCCAAGAGGCACTTCGGGGTACGTCTCATAACGGCCATAAAGAAACCCGAGTCGCTGACTCCCAGACTTTCGCCAGTAGTCGATCAGCTTATCTACCATGTGAGGCGAGGCAAACTCGACGTGATCGACCATTCGGAACTCTTGTGGCTGGAGCGTGATAGCACTAGGTTGGCACTTTGAGCAAATCCCATCAGGCCAAGGTGGGTGTCCTGATGGACAATCTTTCTTCACCCGATAGTATGGCTCCGAGAGCGGTGGCATGTATGAGCTCTTGAGTTCAGGCTTGTTCGTAGCCGAATTGATCTTCCGAAGGTATCCATGGAAAGAGAGATGCTTGATCTTCCTCTCGGCCAAATAGCCTTTATCGTAAGGTTCCAGTGGCTGGCAGTAGTCACACATGCCTTTGGGGCCATGCCGACACATCTTCTGGTCCCGTGGTCTGGAAATCTTGCCATCAAGTTTATCCAATCGATCATCGAGAGGAGACTGCTTGATGACTTCCCAAGGATTCTTGATCAATGTGGGAGATGTCACGTTGGGGAGAGGTAAAGGTGTTGAGGAGTCAGGGAGGGCAATGGTGCCATTGAGCCTGCGTGCTGGCTGGGGGGTGTCGCCATTGGCATGACCTGCGTGGCCGTTTGAGAGCTTCTCTATCGCGGAGTATCCTAGATATAGCTTATCTCCATGCCTTTTGTTAAATGTCAGTTTCCATTTCTATAATGTCATAATCCTGAAGCGCACTTTAGATTGACTTGTTGCAATTCAACTCCAGGGAGATCTTTCAAGCGTCGTTCACGGTCGGGGTCGGGTTTCGAGCTGACTGGTTTGTTGCTCAGAACTATGGTGGCGGCATCGGTATCGGGGGGTAGGTGATCGAGAATCTGTGGCAGGTTTTGAGCGTTTCGATCTGTTGTAGAATAGGTAGACTTACCAGAGAAGTCAAGGACGAGAAATGTGCGGTGGGCTCGACGTTCAGCCGAAACTGGCCCCATTTAGATTCAAATCTCAATAACATGGCGGTCGTAAGATAGTCGATAAGGTGGGTAAGGTGGGAAGTAGTTTGGAAGAGAACCCCGGGGTAGATTGGTGCTGGGCCTGTGAGAATAATGTTGGTTGGTTTGGAACTCTTCAAACCGCGGTCATCAGTCGCGAGGTGGGCTGGAAAGGAAGAGAAGATGATGGTGAATCATGGAGATGGAAGGCAAACATCCAGATTCCCCTAGGGTGCCTCGTGTGTGGATATGGGACGAATGGCACTCTGCTTGCAACGGTGCCTGTGAAATGGCTGTAGCAAATCCACTTGGTAGTAGTGAATGTAGTGGGTGTAGCCTCTCCGTACCTGCAGTACTCAAAAGTGGTAGTTTGCGCCTTCTCCAACCGCGCCCACTGTGTCGCCGATGCCTCCAGGCCGACGTTCTTGCGTCATACTTCTTTTGCCTCACGCTCAACCTTCCGCATTAGACCAAAGGATGCCAGTCGGCAGGCAGTGGGCACCGAGGCACTGAGAAGCATGTTGGAGATGATATTCAATCACTACCTATTGGCTATGGGGCAAGAAACTTCCTCAAATTATGATTTCTCATGGAAACACCTGTTAACGACGATTAAATGTACGTAAAGAGACCCATCAGCTGTTTTCATTCTGTGGTCATTCCCTCGAGCTGATTATGTTCGTTACTGTTCGCAAACCGATACCAGCCCTGGCCCAACACCTGCGCTCGTATGCGTGATGTTATGCTGCATATTGTGATGCCCACTGACATTTCAATCCGTCCACAACTCACCACCATCATGAGGCCTTGTACAGCTGCCCCAGTCTCTTCTCAAGCAAGGTGCGGCCCTCCAAGGTCCTCCAGACCTCCTCTCTTGGGCCCCTTTTCACGATATCCCACGAAAGTAATTTGTCCGTGACTTTCGTCAAATCCTCTTGCTTTCGCTCCCAATCCTTGTCTTGTCGCACGTGCACTCCAGAAGTCACCACAACCAGCGGCACCTTTGGATCTTGGATGTTTCTGGCGCTGGAAACCTCATTCTTGGTCAAGGAATCAGCGACCAGGTTTTCTTGCAGCTTGTTCTTGATAAACTTCCCGCCCTGGTAAGATGACTTGCCGAACACTCGATCCTCCTTTGTGCGTCCTTTGAATAAGGCACCTGCCAGTCGGTCAAGGCCAAGTGGAGAAATGATTCCGCGACCCCAAAGGACGAATCCCCGACCTGGACTGGACACCTTGTAGAGAAGATCCTCGTGTAGCCCATCGATGAACATCATGCCGCTAATGGCACGTGGATGACGAGCAGAGAATACTCGGCTATACACACTGCCAATTCCTGCGGAAACCAAGATCCACGGTCCATCTTCGCCCGCGATGGCGAGAGCCTCGGAAATGGCATCAGCAGACATACCGGCAGAATGGGGCGATGGCGCGTTGTCCGACCATGCCAAACCCGGTCGATCCCAATAGCAATACCGAGGAATAGTGCCATTCTTGTAGGCATCATACACCCACTCCTCAAAAGAGTCCTCGACTGGCATATATCCGCCCTCCAGTAGTACAGTCGGGTTGGGCTTGCCCTTTGGAGTAAAGGTCTGGTTGCCAACACATGCAAAATGAACTTGATACTTGTCACCGTCCACGAGATATCGTTGGCCGGGTGCAGCCAGCGTAGCATCGCGAGAGCGCAGGACCAAGGTAGCAGTCAACAAGACTGTGATGAGAACGTAGATGACCATGAAGAAGGTGGCGGTGAACACCGCACACCATTCTCGAAGTGACCGTTTTGTCTCGTGTCGGCCAGTCAGGCGCTCTTCCTCCTCAGCCTTGCCCCATTTCACAGTCCTGTTGGTGACAATATTGTAGAAACCAATGAGCGCAGCCCAAACCACCGAGGCAATGCCAATCCAGCCTTCTTCGACGCGGATGCGAGCCACGGCCAGAATGATGATCATGTCAATGAGCAAGATGACCGATATTGCCATGCTAAGGATACTCATGGCTGTTGAAGGCACGGCAAAGAACAAGAGAGCGATCAGGATGTTACCGATAGTAAGGGTAGTGTAGGCGACGTCAAAAAACCCTGACCCTCTCGAATGCATACTCGGAGGGCTGACGAAGATAGATATGAAGAGGAGAACCCACCATAGGCAGGTGATGACAAGGAAAAGGACTTCGAACCATCTTAGAGCTCGAACACTCCATAGGTTGTATGGCGATACCTGTTAAAGAAGAAAAGATTGGCATCAGCTTCCTGGAAAATTGCGGTCATACCTAGGGTATTGAGGGACACTCACAGCAGGATCATCCGGACTCAAGTATGCTTGACTTTGGTCATGGCGAGGCAACAGTCTCGTCCGTTCGTTTGCATCTTCTGAGCGTCGAGTGGGTTGGCTGTGTGATGAGCTTGCTCGAGGTCCTTCTTGTTGCAGCTGCTCCTCATCACGGTCCTCGTGGTCTTCGCCATTCTGCTTGGTTCCCCACAGAGTTCCCATAGCCGCTGAGGTACTCAATAAATGTGTGTATGGTAGACTGGGAAAGGAGTAATCGTTACCACGTCACTAGTGGACAAAAATATAGCAAACAACTTCAATTCAATGATGGATTTGACAAGCCTTGCCAAAGATCGTCTTCTTGAATCCACAGCCCGAGCTCAGATGAAAAGAAAAAGGTGGCCGGGTTTGCAAACACAATCTCTGGGAGTGCAACCAAAAGCTCAGCTTGATGATGTCGTGGACTAAAAGAGAGCAGTTGTCAAACGATCCGACGTCATCAACTGCATCGTGGTGGATCGCAGCATCCCGATTTATGGGCTTGTCAAAGTCAATTACGAGCCATGGGAATTCTAAAAATCGTCAGTGGCCAGGCGTTTCTACCAGAAATCGACGGTCTGTTGTGATCGGCATCCTGCCCCCTCGTCAGAAAGGCCCAGATTCGTCTTTCGACGAGTAGCTTCATCTCTTCCATACCAAGTACTGATTGTGCTGTGGAATTTAGGAGTGGAATGGGTCCCAGTGATCGTCAACTTACCCTCGAGCCTCTAGGCTAATAATCGTGGACTCACGAACAGCAAATCGATCTGGATAAGTCATGAGCCCCTTCTCGGCTGGCTTTAGCTAGCCGTGGCTAGAGAACAAGCTTGGAGCATCCCTGTGCTGATCGCCCTAGGCCCCCTCCAGTTGTCCCGCCGCTCAGGCTGATTGCTTGGGCCATCTTGTGCTGAGGGTTCTAAAACTAGAGTTGCTCATCACCACTTGGAGAGTCATTGTCCAGCTCACGTCTTCAATGGTTTAGCTCTATTGCAGTACAAGGGGCTTATCTGATAGTGCATTGGCTTAGATTTATACAGCCGGTTGTCTGCCTAGGTAGTCATTCTAGAGAAGTCTGGTAAAGTGGCAACGAAAATTCAACCCATTGCGAATGGACTTACCAAAAAGGCTTTTGGTATCTGTCCCAGAAAATGCACATCCACACACCGAAAGGATGAAAGCTGAAAAACAGAATCTGAGTTTAATGCCAATCTAAGTCGCCATCAAGGCTGCCTGACTATCGTCCCTAGACGACGCGAAATAGATAAGCCGCGGTGGTCAATTCCCATACTTCCGGGTAGGGTATTGCTCCAAAAGGTCTGGTCTGACAATTGTCAAATTGCACCGGTGTGGATTGAAATGAAGTTTATAGGACCATAAATGCAGTATATCCATCAATGCTTGAATCATCTCATCGAAATTTTCTGCCTCGACGCCTCACAATCCCAGAACTATCACCATCTAAGCCAAATAAGAGTAAGTTCAACCCTTCCATCGAGATTGGAACGAGCGGCCAAGGTGAGAAACACCTAAACTTTCTATCTCTGTAAGGTGTTGTTAGCTGGTGGATCAATGAATGTCAAGGTGCAAGACTTACCCTCCGTCCGCGACCACCCGAATGGACGGTTTGCATTGGGGGAGAAAAATAGAACTGCTGTTGAGGGTAGTTATACATATTGCTGGGCATGTTTTGCTGAGCAAAGTTGGTCTGAGGAAATGCCGCCGAACTAACTACCGGGCTCATTTGGGCCGAGTATGACAGGGGTGAGGATGATGCATTTTGAAGACCTCTGAATGGGTCTACTGCCGATGACGGCGTACTATATCCGCCAAAGCCGTTGGACATGTATGCACTGCTAGACCGTTGAGAGGATCCTCCAAAGTTTTGATACTGCGCTTGCTGTTGCAATTGTTGGTACGGGAGCTGAGAATATGATTGCTGCCCTTGATAACCATTAACAGCGTATGGTGCAAAGCCAAACGAATCCGCCGAACCGGTTCGAATGGGGCTCATACCATTCTCAAAGGGCGAAGCATTCACATTGGGAACATAGCCTCCGTTAAATTGACGTGGGTAGGATTGTCCTTGAACACCATTGGGGGTGACCTGCTGAGATTGTGACATCGGCCGAATCTGGGTATTGACCGTCGGGTGAGCGTGACCACTGTACTGCTGCATGGCTGGCTGATTTGGGCGTGATGAAAGACCGACCTCATCCATAATCCTCTTGTAACCTTGATTCGGCTGGGCCTTGATCTTGGTTAATACTCGCGATACATTTTGAACAACATCGGGCCTCATTGCATCGTCCAAGAAGGGTGTGGTCAAGATCTTGAAGATCAAAGTGACACCAGATGCTTGATCAGAAAGGATTTGTTCCAATACATTGTCATCGAGGCTGAAGAATAATGCTTTCAAAATCAGATCTCGAGCCTCAGGCTCGTTACGCTGGTTTATGATCTTCAGCACTGTGAGGTAAGCAACTTTATGGGTGCAAAGTTGAACAAGATGAGGCACAAGCCTCGGTGCGAGGACAGATCGTCGGCGAGGGAAAGTACAAGTGTCGAGTAACCAGGTGAGCAACAAAGCTCCATTTGCATTTTGTGCCAGTTGAACGCTGTTGAGAGCGATAGCTGCTGCCATCATACGCTGCTGGTTCTTGGTTGCGTGGTGGGCTTCTAGACACGCTCGCATAGCTCTCGCACCGAAGCGTCCCTGAGCAATTTCCCAAAGCTGCGACAGCATTGTCTCAAAGATGTAGTCATTATAAGGAGGTCCAAAGCGTAAGCAGCATTGAAGAACGTAATTGCCGTACTGATCAAGGAACAATGGGACGGTATATGGCCGTAAGTGAGACACAATCATTCCAGTCTGTGACTCGGTCTTGCAAACCTCGATGATCTTCTGTGCAGCCCAGGTACCATTCTTGTGCACACCGATTTCAGCAAGATGAGGGGCGATGCAAGCCAACATCTGTTCCTTGGTCACTTCGGAACAGAACTCGAACAGCTTCTGGACGACAGTATTGCCCAAGTAGTCAGAGGACAACTCTGCTATCTCTGGTAGCATGTCAACAGCAATCTGTTCAATCTCTTGCAATCCACAAGCACCATTGTCGATACGCTTTCGGATATCACGAAGCCTGGGAGCATCAAACATTCGAGCAGCACTCGATTCTGGGATCGGAGGGATTTCCTTTGACAGCTGGGTGTATCGAATGGCACTTTCTATGTTTGCCGCGACGATTGGGACATCTGATTGTTGAGCACCAAAGTCAAGGACAATTTGTAGGATGTCAGGCTGCAGCTCAGCGAGGCGGTCGCCCGCTGGAATGTTCCTGTTATGGCCAGTCACCGGAAGGCTAGGACTTCCATCACCAGCAATCAGCTGTGAAGGGAAGGCATCGTCCCTGCTTCCATTGGCAGCAGCTGGTGGAGGAGTGGCGTTGGGAACTGGTGTGAGTGAAGTGGAAGCAGTTGGAGCTTTTGCAAACCCAATTCTGACCGGGCCAGCGCCTGGGAAGATCTCTTTGCCATTCAGAATTTGGCGAGCACGAACTGCATGTTCGGTGCTCTCGAAATTCACGAAGCCACAGTTTTTGTGGGTGAGCACTCTTGTAGATTCAATGTTTCCATATCGGCTAAAAATGGCGTCCAGAGATGACATAGTGGTCGAGTTGGGGATGGATCCAATCCACAAGGACCTTGATACCTGTATGTCAGATTCATCTAGTCCTTCGAATCCGCCCTGACCACCTTCGGCGAGATGTAGATTGTGCAAGGCGTCTGCGAGTGTTTGCTCACTAATGCCATTTGCGGCTTGCAATTCCAAGACCAGGTTGGATGCATCGGTGGACGATTGAACCAGATTTCGCAGAGTAGTGCGTTGAGGTGTCTCGACCAGGCCTGCAGTACGGGCTCGTGGCCGTGCAGCACTCGCATTGACCGCGAAAGCCTGAACAGCTTGATTGTGGAGACGGACTTTTTCCTGAACCATCTCGTACTCTGCTTCGAGGGCAGCGGCCGCCGATGGAGTAAGGGTACCGGTTGGGTAAGAGGAATAGCCCGAGGGATCTTGAGCGTCGGAACCGAACTTGGGTTGGGTATTGACAGAGAAGGACCGAAATCTACTTGCGTTCCTCAAACCCAGGTTGTTCAGGACATCAGACAAACCCGCATCCTGGGCGTGTGACATGTCGGATCGAGACTGTTGCTGAGGCTCGGCTAGACCGAGATAATCAAGAGTACGGACGCCAGAATCCGACATACCATCTTTTGAGAACGAAGATTGCTGAGGCGATGTCGGATCTTCAGCAGAACTAATGCTAGTCAAAGTAGCAGCACGAGCTCGCCCTGTACCCCAGCTAGAACCGAATGGAGTTTGAGCAAATGGACTAGATGAACCCAAGAGACTGGCGCGTTGCGGCATGCTTCCAGCACGCAGGCGGGACAGCAAACTAGCATTGGAGGCAACATTGACGCTTGACCCTGGAGCAGTGGAATAGAAAGCGCTTTCTGCTGCTGAAGTGGAACTGGGACGGAAAGGGCTTGTGGAGGGAGTCGGACGCGACGTCTTGGAGGTAACACTGACGCCATTTATAGTACCAACGGGTGAGATTCTTGAGGGAAGAGTGCCGGCTCTGCCCCGTCTGGCAGGACTGTTGATACCGGTCTCTGTCAGAGGAATCAGGTCAGGAAACCCGTCTTGAGAGGGCGATTCGGGAATTTCAAACAAGGGTGTAGAGGTTCCACTGGTCGGTGGGCCCCATATGTTTGGGGAGAGAGAGGTCTGAGACTGAAGTTCACGGGTCCGCTTGGGAAACAATCGCGAGGCTTGTTCGTGGAGAGGAGAACCGGCTCCAACTCGTGCACTAGCGAGGCCTGCCAGACCCGCGGAGGCTTTCGGACCACCGAACGGAGATTTTGATGTAGGAATAGAGGAAGGTTCGGTGAGAGGAGGCAAGCCAGAAAGATTAATATTGAGTTGACCGTCTGATCGGTTGGTGGAAGCCATGGTTGTTGCAGATTCACGAAGGAGTGAGCTGTATCGTGTAGGGAAGACTCGGAAGGGTCTTGAAGGTCAAGGCACAAAGAGTGAGAGATCGGTCTCTGTCGTCTATCTCTAGGAGATGGCAATTCAAGTCGAGAAATGTGTAACTCGAACGGTACAGCCCATCTAATTTTTCTCTCTTGGCTCTGTTTTCGCAGCTTATGGGCTGGAACACCTCTTTTCACAATCTCGACGGTTGTCGGGTTTGTGTGCAAACGACCAGCGGTAGGCGAATCGGCGAATGACAGTCAGGACAGTCGCAGGACAGGTAAGATATTACTTTATGAGATATGAGGTCGTCGGTAGATAATGCCCAGTGATGGGTGGCCGGGGACTAATAAGACAAGTTGTGTGTAAGGAAGGAATCGAAGGCAGCACTCCAGGGCTGAATAAGATATTAGGTGGAGGATGAAATAAAGCGAAAGGCAGTTGGAAAAGATGTGTATGAGGAGGTAAGGAAGGCGAAGGTGAAGGTGAGGGAGAGGACGATGATGGAAGGAAGTGGGAATAATGTGATTAGGGGCCACGGAGGAGGTTGAGGTTGATTCAGTTGGAGTGAAAGACTGGTTTAGCAGGTAACCTGGAAGGCACCTGGGCAGGTAATAATGGATACCCCGTACCTTACTCCGTAGCGAGTACAGTGGACGTGGATGGATGTTGCTGCCAGTGCAGGCCAAGGCACTGGGTGCCAGTTAGCATCAGTTTTAGTACACGTAGCCACTGCAAATTCAGTCAGACTAGGTGACTTAGGCTGATGCTAGACGAGTACTACCCGCTCCTTCCTCTAGGTATTTTCAGGGAGGACGTTACGGATAGCGGTACCTGAGGCACGGCTACGGAGTAGGGGTCTCATAGTCCAGGGTCAATGCCTACCAAAAAGACCGGCGGAGTCGGTACCTACCTAGGTCCTAGTTATATGGACATCTTCCTCTGGGTGCCTGGGCTTGATCGTGGGAGTACGTGGTGCGTATACTTTCGAGTCCAAAGGTGGGTTTATACCTATTGAACCCAGTATATGGGACAGTAGAGATTGTCCAACTTCCCATCATCTCGATTGTTCTTTCTTCCACCAAGTTCCTTTTGGCTATCATCTATGAGGTACTCCACTGCTAATGCCAACAGTCTGCACCTATTTACCCCGTGGACAAATACCCCCCAGTACTTGAAGCGAAGTATCCCGTCCCCCGTCCTCCAGGCATAGGGTTCAGCCAAAGAAACTCGAGGAATGGTCAGTATTTGTGTACCCAAATGCAAGTTCACCCGGGCATCCTTGGATATCTTCCTTTCTCGTCTCGGACTACCATAGACTAAATGGATGCGGATTGCGGCATACTTCGTACAGTAAGACCTGGCCAGAGAAAACAGTCCAAACCTAGGTGCCTTGCAAGTTGCCAGGCTCTCCACCGTAACCATGGTCCGATGATCGACCCCATAAAATCGAGAGTTCCTTGTCGAGGAGTGGCTTCTGGAGTTTCCCGAACCTTGCTCACTCTGTAACCGTGTGTTCTTCTCCACGTTCAAACACCCAACTCCCAGCCATGAAACACATCTTGTTTGCTCACCATGTATGCCCAATTTAACATGATCATCCTGATTTCCTAGTTTTGAGGACCCAATTGATACTCGAGCACCAGTCGACATTCCGAGGGGTCTTTCCGAAGTGTTTGCAGTTAGAACTTGAGGTTTGTTAGCGGTTCAGAAATCCATCGTGTTCGAACTCTGGCAGCTTATTTTCCCTGACAGAAACTTGAAACACTGGCGTCCGGCTGATGGGAACCAATCCACACGCCAGGACCAACCAAGCATCCACCCTCCTGCGGGGACGCAGCGGTGCGTGCCCAGCCTGAGTTCCCCTGATCGCATTCGGTACCTGATGGTTTTTCTTGCCCTCTCTTCATCACTGGGGATTCTGCACCCTGCCCTTAGGGGCGCGTCGAATGATGGCTCTCCATTCCCACTGCCGACCTTGACACCGATTCTATTCCTGGCCATATCACGCATGATGCGCCCATCAGTTCATCTGGGCATACTCTGGCCACAAGTCTTGGGTCCTCTTGACTCGATGTATGGAGTCAGCCTCAGTCCTTAATCGAACTATTCATAGCTGGACATCACGTGTGTCTGGCCGTGATCATTTGATTTGGCACTGGCCTGTATTGGCCCGTGCTGTGAGATGGACACCAAAGCGCCTGTAGCAGTCGTAATCGTGCAAGTCGAGGACCACCTGGGTAGCTCATGGCTAATGGTAGTACAGATCCACAAATTGCAAGCTTGGGTGCTTAGTCGTAGGTCACCGGTAGCCTCCTAAGCTCGCCATTCTTATTGCTTGAACTGCCGATAGGAAGAGCTTCGCCGGCTTGCATATGTGTACGAAGTACATGGTACATGGTTGGGATGCCAGGATTGAGTTTGGGTACCTGGGCGACTGGTAGCTCTTAGCTTTGAGTCCTTGCCTCCGTCAACAATTCGTTCAATCTAGTAATTTGCTCAGCGGCATAAGGTGTGGATTTGTACTCGTAGACTGAATTGTCATTTAGCCATCTGCCAGGGGGCCTCATTCCCGGAGCCTCGGAAACCAAAACCAAACCCACATGTGCCCTATTTGTTGAGTAAGATAGTAGACTTGGAAGCTGGAACCCATCGGAATGGCAGACAATTGATATACTCACCGACCTCGGTAACAGATCAATAGACCGAGGGTGACGGTGCATCATATGCTCAAAGATGGGAGTTCAATACCAAGGTCCTCTAGCAAAGGTTTAGGGGGTCCTTGGTGCCTCCCTTAGCTATCCAGAGAGGGTACTTTTGAGAGCTTGAGAAGAGGGTGTGGTACCTGAGCAATCTGCCGCAGCCACCGCGACCGCGGCCCACGAGGCTCAAACAGCCCAAAGTCCCCACGGATCTCTGTTATCGATAACCAGGTACGCAATAATAGGCGAGGATTTGGGGCTTAGATGATTCCCTTAGTTTTTCGCGTTCCGTGGACGGCGTCGACGGAACCGAACGCTGGTGCACTTGACATGAAATAAAGTCTTGAAGTTAATGCGTATCAAGGCACATGTTACAAGGCACAAAGTCAACTTGAGCATCAGCGCATGATACTGGATCAACATTCCACCCAGAGAAACTCTCATTCCATCTAGACTCGACCCAGGTGGTCACTGAGGACGCAGGGAGGATGCTTTCGGCGAGTTTCCTGCCAAGACCCTCTCCTTAGCGGATCTGATCTTCTCGTATTCCAGCCTGCATCAATTATCTCCCACTCCTCCTCGGACGGATAGTACACAATACCGATGGCAATTGTCGTCACCCACCTTCACTCAACTACCAGGAACCACTTAGTGGTAAGCACGAGACACCACTCTTCTAGACCGTCAGTCGGGACTTGCCTCCAGCCTTCCGCCACTGCATCATCCATGGTCTGGCCAAACGCAGTTCGTAGCAATCACCACCTCTGCACGACCTTCTCTTAGACTTGCCACGGCCACCCACTCATACACTTACTCGCAATCCCTTGGACTACTACTCCCGACTTTCGATCCTTCTCCCTCGTATCTCGTCCTTCCTCTTGAGGACCACTGCACCCCATCGTGCCTCCTCTTACCGATGACTGCTCTACTATTCGCTTTGCAATGACCTGCGCCAACCATGAACGGCATCAGCCAGCCATTACCTGGCCTCCTTGATACCTTTCAATTCCAGATCCCTGATCTACCCGCTCTTACTGATTTCCAGATCGCCCCTCTTCGAGATCCTGCGCCAACCCGACCTGCAAACGTCCCGCTCCCTCTTGAACCGCTAGCCAGCAACCTATTGAACAACTCCCGACAACGGGACGATGATCGTGTGAAGAGACGGGCTCCCAAGATCACTCCAAATGATGTCTTGCTCGCCCGCGAAGCAAAGAAACCACATCTTGCCATCAGTGAATTACTAGAAGGCAATGATGGCCAGGATATCCTCCCAACCCAGTTACCATCCTTTATCAGTCTATCTGTTGTTGAGAAATCTCCCATTCAAGCTCCGACTTCATTGGAATACGCTCAAACCGCTGCCCAGAAACGTTTGAGACTTGATACCGATCCCGACCATGTTTCCCTGGATTCTATCCGTCGATTACCCCGTCCGGCCCAGAAGGATGAGAGGCAATCGCGGCGAGCTCCTCTTTTGCCCGCAATGGTTACTGGCCTTCACGAACCACCACCTTCTGCAGCACTGCTCCCCTCTATTGATGTCGCCTCCCGTCCTCGGGTTGTTCGTACGGTTACTAGTTCCAAGATGCATGTGAAAGACATGCTCACACAATCCGATCCAAGTGCTTCCCCGCCTCCGTCAGTTCCAGTGCCTTCTGCTTCATCTCAGGAGCTGGTGACAGCCAAGCAGCCTAGCAGCTCAGTCAATACTCCTTCTCACGAAGCTGGGTTTGCTGTTTTAGACTTGCAACATACCACTTCTTACCGCGATAACAAACCACGGAGAGCACGAAGGAAATGGTCTGAGGAGGAAACAAGAGGCCTACTCGCCGGCGTTCAGAAGTATGGTATTGGCAAGTGGAAGCAGATTCTTGATGATGCAGCATTCAGCTTTTGTGAACGGAGTTCGGTTGATTTAAAGGACCGCTACAGAGTCTGTGCTAACAACGACTCATTTCCCAAAGAGCCACCTCCGAGCCGGACGCCCTCAAATGATGATCTGACCAACACTGCTCAATTTGTTCCCTCCCAACCCAGCTCAGTCCCAGGTGATGATCTCGCCCCAAAGTCCCCCACCGACTCTTCTCAAGCACCCAAACAACGTCGAAAGCGCCGGGCCTGGACGACATCCGAGGATGAGAATCTGATCCGAGGCGTGGCGAAACATGGATTTCAGTGGACTGCCATTCATGATGATCCGAAACTAGATCTACAGCATCGTCGAGCAACTGATCTGAGGGATCGCATCAGAAACAGGTTTCCAGACGGCTACAAACATGCGGAATCTGCCCCACTAAGGTCCGAAGTAAGGAAATCAGAAAAATCCCTTATTCCGTCACCAATAGGCCATGATGACGCTGATATGCCGCCACAATATCCAAGCGGGTCTAAATCACAACAGACCCCCGTTGCATTGGTATCAGCAAATATTGACGCAGGCGGTAAAACTGTCAACGGACAGAACAGATCAACGGCCGCGGCAGTGACCATGTTGATACACAACACCGATCACGAGCCCGAGTCATATAATCCAAAGTTGGATAAGGAAAAAGACAAGGATCAACTTCCAGGTGTTACACTACCGAGTTTTACACTGGATGTGGATGATGATATGGACTGGGAGGATAACAGACTTCCTCCGCTTCATGAGTGGGATGATATTGGGCTTTAAAAGTGATGGAGGACACACACATAATGTCAATTACATCGACCTCAAAATGGAGGCTGAATATCCCACCAAATCACAGTGGGAAGGCCTAGTTAATCGCTAATCTTACACGAGTTGAACGAGGGGTCAATACAAACAAGCCGCCACACGGCATTGTTAAATCTGGCCACCTATCTACTTGAAGGACATCTATTGTGTTCTCGCTATCCTTTGGGCCTGGCCCTCACTACATGGGGTGTCATTCTTTACACCAACTGTTGCTTTTTTCGTTTTTTATTTTTAACATTCAGAAGACAACTTTGAGTTTTCATCAAATTTATGATACCCCTTAGTACACAGAGAAAGAGGTCCACACACAGCGTGGGCAATTCTCTCGCATTTTTACACTTTTTTGGTCCTGAGGGAGGTTGGAGGCAGGGTAACAGGAAGGTTTGGGAACAAGGGACAAAGATAAAAAGCAATCATTTTTGACAACAGGGATGAGGGGATCAAAGGGTGGACCGGGACGACAATCAAAAAGGCTAAAAGTTCCCTTGTTTTCTTTTGCGCAGGGCTACCTGCGATCCCGGTCGAAGCCTTGAAAGCCAAAGGTCAAATCACCATGGAATTTCTAGAACTCTTCTCTGCTCTAGGTCGGACCAGACCTGGATTGGATGATATTGGGTTGGGTCGGATTTGGGACACCTTATACACGCCACGGCGATGCCATCGAGATGGAATGTCACACATTACACGTTGATCAAAATAAGTAGTCAGCTTAACTTTGTAGTAGGTAGTAAAAGAGAATTTCAGCACACCAAAACACCACAATGACGCTGAGAAACACCTGTCGTCCGAAAAGACTGGCTAAAAGGAGAAAGGGCAAGTCGGAGGAGAGTGAGAATTGTAGATCAACGAAATGTCAAGGGGAGTACGCGTGGAGCATACGACATGGACGTGGATTTCAGGTAACTTGATTGCGCGATAGGATGGCCTTTGTCTCGCCTAGCGGTTGAAGAGATGTTCATTTCAGAAGCATGGTCTGGAAGCATGGAAAAATAAATGGTCATGATCGTCAGAAACTCCGAGAAGAAAAAAGAATGCCGCTCCACAGACTCCATACTGACTGGCCCATTTCTCACGCTGAGGAAGCATCGTTTTTGGTTATCGTGGCATCGTCTCGATTTCGACTATTCTGGTTGGCGATTGGCTCGTGATCTTCGTGATTCGCTTACGACTGAATACAAGCTCGTAAGATCTGGTCGGAGTTAGTGTTCTCGTGCGCTCGGCTTCAATCACCATGCGTTGCGATCCCAGTTAGGGTCTAGATGATTCACCAGTTAATTGTCCCAGGCTTCCATTCCTCAAGAAATTTACTCTCTTACCTTGTATAAATGCCCCAAGAACCTTGCTACCTGTTTGTAGAAGGGGATGACCTACAACGATCTGCAGGAACCGCTGAAGGCCCTCTCTTCTGTGCTCGATCACGTCATCCGAGAAGCGGTTGGTGAAGACCTTTCCAGGTAATGGTGGAATGGTAACCCTCGCGCTCTCGCGCTCCAGGATGTCACGGAAATATTCAAAGTCTGAATAACGACGACGAACAACAGAGTGACGCAGCTTGAATGCAGGAATGTTGGTTCGCGTATGGATCTCATATGAGGTGTACATGTTCCTCGGTGAAGAGCCATGAGTCTGGGGATTCTTGACCTGTAGAAACCATCTCATCAGCCTAGCCGCCTAATGTGTTTGGAGCCCTCAATTCAAACTGACTTCAATCTCAAGGAAGTTCTCTGGAGGACCGTAAATCTCTTCGAACGTCTGTTGACGCGAGTCGGGTAAGGCTTGCATGGCTGTGAATGATGGTGGGGTGTAGAGAGGATGATGAGAATAGTGATGGGAGCCACGTGCAAGGAGCACTTATGGACAGAGGTGGTATGGATTGAAATAAGAACTGAAGACTCAGAGGCTTTTGAAAGGTTGAACTTTGTAGGAGGCGGATAGATGGTAGAGTGTACAAACGAGAGATCCAACAAATGCTGGTGTCGATAGCAGTTCAACTTGGCCGCATGCCACTCTTGCTGTTGGAACGTCCCTTCACCTCTGCCGATCCTGATTTGGCTTTAGGTTACTTTAGGTCACTTCAGTGGTGCTTGTGGTGGCACTTTGGCAGTTGCGGTTGGCATTTGAGCAACCGCCTGTGCACCTGTGCCTTCTCCTTGCGCCTGCACCCCGCGTTCAGTCTTGGCACCCGAGCCTTCGGAAAAATTATGCCAAGCAATCCTATCAAAAACATTTTTCGGATTCAAGTGAGCTCCAATTGATTTCCCCAGGCTCGTCACAAATCTACACTGGCAACAAAGACCATGTCGAAGAAACGGAAGAGAGAAGTCGATGTTGAACTTGTGCAGGTTTATGAGGGGTTGGCCGATGAGGACGAGTCTGTGCGTCTCAAGGCTGCTCTGACCTTGGTTACGACTATCTTCGTTCCAGGTGTTACTACCGAAGAACAAACAAAGTCTATTCTCATACGACTCTTTCGTGGCCTATGCAGTGGCCGCAAGGCAGCCAGGCTGGGCTTCTCTGTTGCTTTGACCGAGCTGCTAGCTGAAGTTTCCATATCGTCAGACGCAACCCCAACCACAACAGTACCTGCCTCCCACGTGGTCGATATTCTTGAAGGACAAACTGTCTCCGAAGGTGGTACATCTGGCCAAGATGAGAGAGATCACTATTTTGGGAGGGTCTTCGGCGCGGAGGCGGTCCTCAAATCTGGTATCTTATTCAAGACTTCGGATCCTGCTCAATGGAGACGTCTGCTTGACATAATTTGTACTGTTGCCCTCAGGAAACCATGGCTCAGACAAGCATGTGGTCGAGCACTATTCACTTGTATCGCATCCAATGAACCCAAACTTGTCCCCGAGGCTTTTGCCATCGATACAATTTCGGCCTTCTCTACTCACAAACTCATCCGCTCTCCCGAAGGCGTCGCGATCTGGATTGCAGCTACTCGCGCATTTCCAGATGCGCAATTTCCAAATTTGATTTGGAAGTACGATGATCCTTTGGCAAGCAAGGATATCAGCTCGCTTACTGCCATTCTGAAGGATGCTAGGACCCAGTCCGATGGCTCGGACGAATCTTTTGAAGCTCAAGGATCTGCGGGATGGTCTGCAAATTTACATTTCGCATGGGACGTAGTCTTGAGTGAGTTATATCACGAGGTTCCAAACAGAGAACAAAATCAACCTCGGTTTGCTGGACGAGCATCCTTCGATTTGTTCTGGCAAGTTGTCGTTGATAATGGCCTGTTTGCGGATTCAAGCAGTACAGAGCGCAAAGCATGGGGTTTCAGTCTCTGGAGAAAGACGTTTGAAACGGCGCCCCAGTCCGTTCTCCAATATACATTCTCGCAGCAAGCTCTACGCTGTCTGGTCAATTCTCTCAAGGCTCCAGAAAGATATCTACAGAAATCTGCACAGCGGGTTACTCAGATCTTTGCCACCCGTCTCTCCGGGTCTGGTATGGCTTCCACCGATCAAACCCTCATTGGCGTCTGTGTCAAGTCACTACTGGAGAGTGTGTCGTTCGGAGACTTTGATCAAATCACCAAGACAAAAGCCATCCACAACATTCTTGAACTGGAGCAACATCCAGTCCAAGAGGCCATTTTCATCGCTCTTGAGACCCTACTCAATGACACGTTCATCGTAGACGATGAAAAGACGCGATCTGTTCAACAAAAATGTATTATAGCTCTTCAAGGTAAACTTTTGGCAGCCTCGTTACGGCACTCCGAACACCAGGTAGCAACGAAGGAGGTGAATGCCTCTCACTTGGCTCTCTGTCTATTGATCCTCAAGTGTTGGGTGAGGAGAGTCTACGTCACAGCTCACGGAAACCCGACACATGGCATGCCTCGGGGAAGTCTGACCGACCAAGCTCGTGGTCTTCTCAGAGATCGTCTTGCTTCAGGGTTTGAGCAAACGCTTAAAACTGAAGCCCCGGGTATTGGGCTGGTACGAGAGGTCATGATGAGTCTGCTGCAATTGGAGAAAGAAGGTGCTCCAATGGATATCGAGTTTGAAGATGCTATCAGCAAGGAAGTCCAGAAAGCCTGGAAGAGGTTGGCCAAGCTCAAAATCTCAAATGGAGAGCCAGTGAACGGTGCAACTTCAAAGGGCAACAAGGTTTCATTCCATGATGGTCTTGCGCTTTTGTATTGTTTGGTACTTTTCCAGGTCTACAACGGAGAGGCAGAGGCAGTTGAGATTTTGCAGGAAGTTAATGCCCTGGATGACCAGTGGAAGCAGAACACGAAGGCGAAATCGGCCCCAGTAGGCGACGATGTTCCAATTGTTCAGATTTTGCTTGGCTTTGCGTCTCGCCCTTCCAAATTCATGAGACGTGTCACTGTTCAAATTTTCGAGTCTTTTGCACCACTACTCAGCCGCCATGGTCTCGAATCGTTGTGTGAGGTTCTCGACGCCAAAGAAAATGCTCAGGGTCAACAGGAGATGTTCGAAGCGACAGACATCGAGGTGAATGAGGATGACGCAGATCGCATTGACTCCGATGTGGAGGAAGTATCTTCAGATGTTGAGATTGTGGATGCTTCAGACGAATCGGATGGTGACACTAGTACTGATTCTGAGGCTGAGGATTCAGACTCGAACTCAGAAAAAGAGCAGGGTGAAGACGAAGATAGTGAAGACGAGAAGGACGAAGACCTTGCGGCGTTCGATGCGGCTCTGGCCTCAGCGCTCGGAACTCGAAGTCTGAATCAAACTGATGGAGACGCGACATCAGATTCTGACTCTGATTCTGATGCCGATATGGATGACGATGAAATGATGGAACTGGATTCGAAATTGGTTGAAGTCTTCCGCGCGCGTGAAGAGGAACAAGCCAAAAAGAAACAACGGTCAGGGAAAGAGGCAAAAGAGAATATCATCAATTTCAAGAATCGCGTACTCGACCTCATCGATTTATATCTGAAACAACAACACCAGAATGCACTGGCAATTGATCTTATCATCCCACTACTGAGATTGGTCCGGACTACCCAGGCTAAGCAAATAGCGATCAGGGCAGGCGATATTCTTCGAGGCTTGTCTTCCAGATGCAAAGGACAAATCATACCCAATCTAAAAGATGCGACTGGCCTTGAGCATGCAGCAGCAGTCCTGACGCAGATCCATGAGGAAGCATGTTTGCAATCGTCCAATGCACACTCAACCTTGGCGAGTCTCGGCAGTCTTCTTCTGGTGAAGGCAATTACCAAAAAGGATCGTGAAAGCATTCGAGTCGTAGTCGACATTTATGCGGATACCCGGCTCAGGCAGTTGACCGATAAGTCTTGCTACATAGCACCCAGCTTTTTCTCGGACTGGAATAACTGGTGCCAGAGCATTGAGAAGAGGCTAGCTCAGTAAGAGCTAGGGAAGATTCATTTCGGATAGATGAGGCACAGAGATATCTGGACTCGAATACCGCAGCCCTTGTACAATGCCTAGGCCCTGTCTCTTTTCTACTTGACTTGCATATACCAGCCACGAACCCTCCGTCACAAATAAAAGGAACCCATGACTTTTGGCGTGGGACTGCAAAGTTTAGGCTCCTGACTCTTTAATATATGCAACGCGTACAACATTGTCGAAGGCAACTCCGTGGAGAAATGTGCACAGGGGTTTGTGATAGGTTCCCAAATCCACCTACCCCAAAAGTCCTGCCTCACATTGGTTAGCACCAGAATTGCACCATCGTTGATCGGCTTGACGGCAATCATACAATTTGTCAAGAAGTCATCATTGCTGGCTTTATAAGACCTTCATAGCCATGTCGTTGCGTATTGGCATATAATTACAAGTTGATCAGCTCATTGACCAATACGCTGATCCATTCCACTTATCCTTGACCATGGCGGCCGCCACAGTTGCAGTTGCTCTGCCACCTGGACCATTGGGTCAACCAGACATCAGTTATGCTCCAGATCTTGTGAAGTTCGCCGCAAGGACTCGTCGCCGCCATGAAACAGAACAGCTTGAGAAAGCACTCCCGGCTGGCTTTCCCAAGAAGCTTGTCTCGGATCTCGTTTGGGAAGGCCGAGACCTCGTTGACAAATATGACTGGACCTACGAATTGACCACCGAGGAAGTGGAGGAGATCGAGGCAGGCCTCAGCCATTTTCAAGGTGTGCTTCACTAGTTACAGCATCCTTGATATTATGGCTAAATAACAACTTTGCAAGCCCTGAATCAGCCCTTGGGTTTCATTAGCCAAGACACTTTCCCATTACCGAAACTTCATTCAACATTGCGAAAAATCTCTTTTGAGCTCCACCATGGTCATGGTTTCAAAGTTCTGAGAGGCTTACCAGTCACTAAACACAGTCGGGAAGAAAATCTCATCATATACGCTGGGGTGTCTTCGCATATTGCTTCCATCAGAGGTCGCCAAGACAACCAGTTTGAAGGTAAACCTGCAGATGTGGTGCTCAACCATATCAAAGATCTAAGCTCGACAGCTGACAAGGACAAAATTGGAGCTCCTGCTTACACCACTGATAAACAAGTCTTTCACACCGACTCGGGTGACATTGTATCATTGTTCGCACTGAGTACAGCTGCGGAAGGTGGAGTGAGTCGACTTGCAAGCACATGGCGTGTGTACAACGAACTAGCCGAAACAAGACCAGACCTGATCCGCACCCTTGCAGAACCGTGGCCTGCTGACAAGTACGTGGCTAAAGTTTGCTCCTTCCTTTTATGTAGATCTTAGCTGACATTTGCTGCAGTTTTGGCAACAAAGAGACGCCATTCGAAAGCAGACCTCTGTTGTACCATGAGCCCGCGAGTGGCAGTAATCCCGAGCGAGTGCTACTCCAGTATGCTCGGCGAAGCTTCACTGGCTTCGGGGCACTACCTCGATCTGCGAATATCCCTGCAATCACAGAAGCCCAGGCCGAGGCCTTAGACGCGCTTCATTTCTTGGGCGAGCGATTCAATGTCGGTCTTGACTTTCGCCAAGGTGATGTTCAGTATGTGAACAACTTGGCTGTCTTTCATGCCAGGGATGCATTCAAAGACACCTCAACCCAACAGTAAGTCATTTCAGCTCCTGTACCATGAGTTACGTTATGGCTACGAAAACCTCCGTATGGCGTCGCTAACGCGGGAGAAGGCGCCATCTGGTAAGGCTTTGGTTGCGAGATCCTGAGCATGCGTGGCCCACGCCGGCCCCGTTGACCCAGAGGTGGCGGAGAGTTTACGAGGGAGTTCGACCCGAAAATGAGATTTTCCCGCTCGAGCCTCGCATCAGGAGCGCTAGTGCAGGAATTGTGCCAGCAAAGGTGTGACAGGGAAGCTGGAGCTGGACAAAATCCCACGTCGATCCCACCTGATGTTGGGCTTGGGGCTTAATCACAGTTAGCTACTAACTAATGGTATTAGATCCACCAGATATATTAACAAGCGTAGCTACAAGATTGGACACCAAGCTTTGGCTAGATGTAGCTGGATTGGTAGCCAGCTCACCAATCGATGCTTTCATCTTTGCTGAAACCAGTGCTTCACTAAACAAGGAAGATCCTAACCCATCTCAAAATTCGTGCTAGTGCTGTATATCGCAGCAAACATTAAACCTGGGCGTACAGGGGGGGTCCAATCGCGCCATCGACGTTACAGAGCACGTTCGCACCAAGACTCCTCCTAGGCACGGAACGCTGGGCATACTGCATTCCCTGGAACCTTGTGCATTAGCATCATCAAGTGACGGCGACGTCTTGAAATCTTGTGCAGGAAGGTGGTCCCCTCGCCACCGTATGTTATCTCCTACTCGAATGGTGCAATCTCAAATAGCGATGAGGACATTGGTATGGTTCGATCGATGTTGCAAAGACAACATCGATCAGCTAATCAGGGTGGTACAAAAGGAAAAGCATGTACTCTGATGCTGTTCAAGAACGAGACTGCTCATTAAGATCCTTCTGCTGCAACTTGGCTTTGGAAGGCTGCAGCTCTGAATCCGCGCAACCATGGTCCTCTTCGACAGATTCCGTCGCTCTGAAAAGCAAGGCGGCGAGGCACAGGTCGCTGCTACCGGCACAGATGCCCATCAAGGCTTCATCGGGGATGGAGACTTGAAATACGCAATCGAAGAGAGTGGTAATGGCTCAGGGCCGACATATCAGGAAGTTTCCGGTGCCCCGGTGGAGACCAGCTCACCACTGGGATACTATGTCGGACCTGTGACCATCATTTTCTTGAACATCAGCAAGATGATCGGAACTGGTGTCTACTCTACTCGTGAGCTCAAGTCCTTTTTTTCAAAAGAGATAACCACTGACGAACAATTGTAGCTGCTGCCGTCTTGACTGGCACCGGCGCTGTCGGGCTCGCTATGATATATTGGGTCCTAGGTTTCCTAATCGCTATAAGCTCGCTCTCGGTTTACCTCGAATACGCCTCGTACTTCTCGAATCGGTCCGGTTCGGAGGTTGTGTACCTGGAGCAAGCCTATCCGAGACCGCGATATCTTTTCCCTACTGCATTTGCGGTTCAATCGGTGATCTTGTCCTTCAGCTCAGGCAACGCAATCGTCCTTGCGAACTACCTCTTCAGGATCAACGGACATGTCCCAACGCCTTGGGAGTTGAAGGGTGTTGCTGTAGCTGGCTATACCGTTGCTGTGCTCCTGCTAGCCTTTAACACACGTTTCGGCTACTTACTGTCTAATGGCATCGGCATTGTCAAGCTTTTGACCTTGATCTTTGTTGCTATTACTGGCTTGGTCGTCCTTGGGGGACATACAAGAGTGGAAAACGCTACATCCCACTTCGACAACTCCTTCGAAGGAATCTCGAATCAGCCTTATGGCCTTACAAATGCTCTAGTCAAGATTATCTTTTCGTATGCTGGATATGAGAACGCCTTCAATGTCGTCAACGAGGTCAAGGTGAGTTTCAAGCTCAATCAATCTCTATGTCTAATGATCTACTGACCATATCCGCTAGAACCCCGTACGCACGATCCGAAATAATGCCTCGATATCCCTTCTCATCGTCGCAATCTTGTATATCCTCGCCAATGTCGCATACATCGCTGCAGTACCCATAGCGGAGCTCAAAGCCTCCAAGCAAATCGCCGCCAGTCTCTTCTTTGAGAAGGTCTTTGGCTCAAGCGGTGCCGTAAAAGGCCTCAACTTCCTCATCGCACTCAGTTCCTTCGGAAACTTGCTTGCGGTACTGATCGGACAGTCTCGACTGATTCGCGAATGTGGAAGACAAGGAGTTCTACCCTTCCCACGTTTTTGGGCGTCTACCAGACCATTTGGAACTCCTCTTGGTCCCTATGCGGTCAAATGGGGCCTCACGGTCATAATGATCCTAGCGCCACCAGCTGGTGACGCGTTCAACTTCAGTAAGTCTCTAATACCCAACTTCGTGAAGAAGCCGACTAATCGCTGTTCAGTCGTCGACCTCCAGTCGTATCCTTCAGCCGCATTCAACCTCGCCATGGCCGCAGGTATCTACTTCGTCAGAATACGCCGAGCAAAAGTCAATCTTCCTCGCGGCCAGTTCAAGGCCTGGGACGCCGTCGTGGTGTTCAACATTCTCGCCAATCTCTACCTGCTCATCATGCCCTGGTACCCACCAGCCAAAGGCCGCAACGGCGGCGATGTCAGCTTCTGGTATGCAACTTACGTCGTCGTGGGCATTGCGATGTAAGTACCCAATCAGCACCCACCAATTTGGTCTCCCCCACATTCATACTAACACTCGATTCCCACAGCCTCGTCGTCTGCGCCATCTACTACTGGCTATGGATCTATGTGATCCCCCAATGGCGCGGATACCGCATCCGACAGGAAGCACTGCAGCTCGACAATGGTGCCAACGCTCATAGACTGGTCAAGGTTCCTGTTGACCGGCTCGATCATTGGGATACCACCCATGACCCGCTTGGAAGGCAGATTTCGGACTCGCACGGCCTCCATGACAGCGCGAGTGGTAGTGATGAGGGCGAGCATATTAAGAATATTAGCAATGAACCCAAGGTGTAGATGATGTAGATGTCTTGGACGACACCAGATTACAATTGATCCTATTGGAGTCTAATTGGTAAGCCATAGTGAGGTTGCCGCGGAGATACCATATTCTGAGGAGATATGGTTTGAATGATGAAGAACTTACTCTGAATGGCGTGCTTTTAATCTCAAATTTGTAGCTACGAGTGGTTGAGCGAGACGCCTCGTCTCGGGACATAACACCAAATCCGTAGTTGTGGTTGTTGACATAGTTTGTACGATGAAAGATCAAAGGGTTTAGCTATCCGAGTAGTTAGTTACGAGTAGTTACTAATGACTGCTCTCCGGGTGGTCCACATTGCCCAGCGGCAAAAGATTCCACCCGGAGCTTCGGTGTGAGCCGAGGCATAGCCCGGTTTCGGGAGAAAAGGGGACGCAGCCTTGCGTTTCTCTACGCTGCTGCATTCCAGTTTGACGATGCGTCGCGACGCCGCTGGCTGCCGTGCCATCGCGCCCGGGTGTTTTGATTTGGCTGCAGGTATTCGAAGCATGATCAACCTAGTGCGTGACCGGGTGCGCATTCCGCTCATGTTGAGACACCTTGGCGGCGAGGCGTTGATCGAGGTGGGCCAGGAGCGTGTGAAGTATATGCTTGATATGCGGAACAATGAGATTGCAATTACTACTAGCAGGGGACCGGATGATGTTGGTAGTGATGGTGCTGCTGGTGAGACGGGCATGGATGGAGAACCTAGAGATGATAAGGGTGATCACGATCATGAGTCCGATGATGAGGATGACGTTGACGATGACGGCCTGTATGGATAGTACCCGTGACAAATTGGCGACCTTGTAGATATCACGGGAATAAGATTGACGGGTGTAGATATTCCAGTGGATCAGGCACAATGAGAATGGCTATTCGACTACGTGAGGTCTCACGTTTCATGCCCGCGAAAAGAAAGAACCCAGATCAAATTGTCTCCCATAGATGTAGAGTCTCTAAAAAGCAAAGCGTCGAACATGATCGCATCGCCGGCTATTAGACACTTAGTTTCTTTGGCTACGGCGAGGGAGGATTATATGGCGGACGAGAACATGATACTCGAAATTCGGACTTTAGGCGTCCTTCGCCGTACTTGGTTTACACTACGGTCTACAATGGCGGGAAAGAAGATCAACCATGGAAGGTCGACCTACCTGAGAACTATACTTCTTGGGCGTGGGACAATGGGGAAACGAGGTTTGATGGGCAGATACATACCTTTGATTAAGACTATTATTAGTGACAGAAACCTGCTGTCACTTCGAGTGCGAAATTACAGAAACATGAACTTCCAATGGGATAATTTCCATAGAGGAGGGGAGACAATAGCAACAGTGTAGATGCTGGAATGAAAGCGTGTCAAAATCTCCTCGCAGGATTGCGGACACAACGTGAGAGGGAAATACTGACTTCGCCCCAAAGTACCTACCTTTCGACTTGAAAAAAGTATGCGGAACAAATCGTAGTGTAGAGACTTACCTTGTAGACTTGCCTTTGTGGACTTACCTTTTCGCTGATTGAATAAAAGGATGATTTCTCATGGTAGATGTTGATGCCAGTCTGGAGTCGTGGGAGACAAGGGGGATCCGAGGTCCATTGCTCCATCATCGTCCTCTTCGTACTCGCCATCATCATCAGTTTCATAATCTGGCAAGCCAGAGAGTTCAGGGACAGGTCGAGGAAGAAGGATGCCGAAGGTGAAGGGAAAGGTACCATCATCGCCTATATCGGTTTCGGGCGAGCCACCTGAGCCTACACCGTCATCATCGGCGGTCGCCATTGGATCGTCCCAGAGATCAAGATCCATGGTATCCAACGTAGGTGTAGTGTGCATGTGGACATTTGTACACTCGAACGCGCTTTGCATGGCCAAGTGGAAGACGTCGCGGCGGTGCTGTCCCATATCACTTGGGCGATTGGGAGGCTGGTCTGTGTCATCTGGGGGCACGGGTGTGCCGAAGACGCCTTGGGTCCAGTGGAAGCCGGAGGGTCGGATAAAGCCTGCCTCCAGGTCGAACGCGTCTTCCAGAGTCCAAGGGTGAACGCCGGGTGGAAAGTGTGGGAACGCGGGCTCTCGAACAATATGGCATGAGTCCAGGGTGAGCAGAACCGTGTTGAATTTGAATCGGATGTCCAAGAGGATGGTAGGTATAGGGCGAGGTCCGACATTGACGCGCGCGTGAAGAGCTTCCAGATGCTCCCTCATAGGAGTCCAGACTGGGCCTCGGCGCAGTCCGTCCCAGCAGTCGAGGACATATTCCAAGTCTTGCACAATATGGCGGTGTAAGACGATAGGCCGGGCTTCGAAAGGTCGAGGTGGTAAATGCATCATTCGGAGCTGGCCATGTGTCAGCAAATAATATTCAGAGCTCACCTCATTCGCGTCTCGTCGCAGACACTCACTCCATTTCGCGAGCCAATTGATAAAGCGAGACTCCCAGTGAAGGATACCGTCCCCATTCACCGAGTACATTCGAGCAAAGGTAGCCACCTCGAGATCAGTCAATAGTTCTTCGATAGTATGGCCCAAGGACCAGAGACGTGGTTTGTAAGTTTTATATGCCTCGAGATCAGCGATTTCTGCCTCATACTCTAGCAACTTGTCAGCGATTACGTCTCCGGCATCTCTATTCTCGGGGATGTCAGTTAGAAGCGTCAACCAGTCAGAGAGGCGGTAAAAAATGCGTTGATGACGGGCAACCCGTGCTGAAGGCAGAGAGCTGTTAGTGAAGTTCACACCGCGTTCAGCAGATTGCAGACGTCTCGATCCATCGCGTGCGCTAATAGCTTCTGGATCTTGATCCTCCTCGGGCTCAGGTGAGTCTCTTGCGGGAGTAGCGTCGCCAGAGTCCTGCATACCCACATCGCCATTTTCTTGGACACTGTTGACAGCCGAAAAGCTCAACGGGCCGGCAGATGGTCGATGGGGGTATTGCATTGTGTCATCGACTGTACCGTCCAAACCCATAGAGTTCCCACCTGGATTAGCAGTCCCACTACCGAGAAGTGAACCCAGATGATCATCTGTACCGTCCAAATCCATAGAGTGGCCACCTGGATTAGTAGTCCCACTACCAAGAAGCGAGCCCAGATCATCATGTTCTTCGGCAGTGAGTTGTCCACCCAGCATGCGCATGGCAACTTGTACAAGAAGAGTTGACAGTTTTGAAAATTTCCATGGGAAATCCTCTTCGTATACTCTCAGCATTTCCAAAATGGCAGGGTTGCCTGACCACTGAAGCAATTCCAAAACGCTCGACATTAGGAATTTCGTGTTGTCTTCCCAAAAGTGCAATCGCTCGAACCCTCGGTGAACTCGCAAATGATTCACAAGTTCACGAACGTTAGTCGAGGGTGGAAGTTTAGAGTCGTAAAGAATCTTTACCGCTCCATGGGCCAGGTTGTTCTGCAAGATGTCGAACAGAAGCTCCACCGTAGAGTGAAAACACGCGTCAATTTCCGCCCACGGTGTGGGATCTTGTGTGTCAATCTGTTTGAATATGAGAGTATTTGATCGATTGACAGAATCTTTTCGGGCATGGGCAGCCGCCATCAGGTAATCACGAACCCGACCAGTTGTAACAACAAGAGCTTCTGGAATTGGTGGGCGTGTGAATTGAAGAGGCTCCTCATCTGGGCCATTGCCATAGATGAGAGTTCCGTCCGGAAGGTTCCCATAGATGTATTCGACAATGTCATCCCTTGTATAGCGGAACGGCAAGACTGGCGGACAGCAAGGCCAATTTGGATGCTTCTGCGCCGAGACTGGTGGAGGTCGTCGTATAAACTCACAGCTGCTTGATGCCGCACGCCCTCGTCGTCCTGTAGACAAGAAGTCTTGTACCAGATTGATTGGGGAAGCATCCTGTGCGCCAGCTTCAATTGATTCAAAATTTGGTGGCAACGCTCCAGCAGAATAATCTGGTGGGCTTACCACATCCTGTGACAGCGCAGCAAAAGGTGGGATGTTCAAATCCGCTGTTCCATTCGTATCTGATCCTCCAATCTCGCGAGGGTGCCGGAATGTCTTACCACCCCAGGTCGGTCTTGGTGAATACAGAGGTGGGGGAATGTCAAACTCTTCTCTTTTGTCTATAGCTTCAGTCACCTCGGTTCCAAGCTCTTCGAGGCGTCTTCCAGGATGGACTGGGCGTGGATCACCAGTTGGCTCAATGGGAAGACCGTCTTCATTCCTGGGGAGCTCATCGAGCCACTCGTCGATCATTTCCTCAATTGTTGTTTCATCAATATCGAATGACCAGCGCTCCATGCATAGATTGGACAGAACGGCAGGGTGTTCTTGACGTGATTCAATAAGTTGCCAATAGATGCCAGAAGGAATCACAGTGCCGCACACAAACTCTGGATGGGTGATAGCTGGGGATTCAGACCAGACGACGTGCTCTCCATGAGTGAGAGGAAGATCGGTGGGTATAAAGTCTTGTTTGAGGATAGCCTCAACTGTGTCACCGTCAATCTCTCGGTGGAATTCATCGTAAAAGATGGTAGCAACGTTGTCGTAGGTCCATTCCGGTAGAGCGACCAAATCCACCATACGCTTTACCATCGCAATGGATAGAATCTCAGAGTTGACCAAGATACGAGGGAATTTGAGGTCGTGCATTACTTCTCTGGCGATGATAGGCTCGTCCACGAAATGCTTTGGAAGGTCTACTACCGACAAGTCCATGGTGGTGTCCATGGTGGTGTCGAGTTGATTTGTTGCCTTTGGGGTTGTTTTTCTGGTTGTAGTTGCAGTCGGCTTCGCTGTTGTGGTAGTTTAAGCAGTTGTTGTTATTGACTTGTAAGTGCTTTGGGTTCTTGGACAGTAACGTTTCGATCAGCTATCAGAAAAATCCTGAACGAGGTCAAGACTGTTCCGTTAGTAGACTCTCAGCGATACTATTTGAGAAACCTGTGCAAAATATGGGTGCCAGAAACAAACCTTCAGCTACCGCGAGTCTCGATAGCTCTTACCTATATAGACGTGGGGCTTCTCGAGCGTTAAACAATACCCGTCCTTTGGGGTTCCTTGTGTGGGGGTTGAATGAACAGAACAGATTCATTGTCGGTTTGGTTCATGAGAGAAAGGCTCTTGGTACAAAAGAACATTTCCTTCGTTGTACAATGAAGCTTGGTTCTGGCAAGTCCTTTACCTCGTTCAGTGGATAACATGAGAAGCGATTGGGGGCATCATCAGAACTCCGAAACGACAGCGCCACGTCAAGCAGAGTCAGATCCCGGCTTCGCAAGACCAACGATGATACCAGCATCTACTCCATCTTGACAAGAAAATAAGGATGGCTCGTGCTCTCCGGCAGATGCCATGCACGTGTGTTGTGAACTATGGGCTTGACCTCGTCGTAACGCAATTGCTGTAGTCCTGCGAATGAATGCAATGTACTCAAAGCCATTGGTACGGCTATGGGGCATAGGTTCAATGAGATCTCAGCGTTGCAGACCGAACATAAGAGCAGTGATCACGCATAACCGGTGATCAGAAAGATTGCTTAATCTAGATTAAGGGGAAGAGGTGCAATAATACTCGAGCACGAAAACATCGCGCTCCGCGTTTACGATTAGTCATATGCCAAGGTATTGTTACCTAGCATAACCATTACGGCCACGCAAAAGACTAAGCTTTTGTCAAAACGCGTATCTCCCCGTAGTCCTGTTATTTCCATCCCCAACGCCCTCAACGTCGCCGACCCTCGAACTTTCAGAGCAAAGAAAGACTGCATCAAGCAGACGTCCCTTTCTGCACACATGTCAACCTCCTCGCATACTCCATCTGCGTCTCGATCTCGGCGTAACGGTGCAGCGACTTATTGATATCATGGTCAATGGCGGCGATCGTCCTCCTTCTCTCGTCCTTACTGATCTTCTTTGACCCGGAGCTGGCCTCCTCCAGCATCTCTTTGCGGCGCGCCAGTGCCCGTGCCGTATCAAGTTGCTTTTGCTTTTCCTGTGCCTCGAGTTCCGGCCCCACGTCCTCAATCTCATGGTGAGCTTCGAGGCGCGAGGACTCCCGGTAAGTGCTGACGCGCTTGGCCCGCTTGGAAAGGAGCGCGCTCAATCTGTTACTGGCTTTGGGCTTCTCGTTGACGATTATGGGAATTGCGGGGATCGGAGATGCAGACTCGATTTGTCGGAGGTTCTTGGAGATGGCGCTCACAATGTCGTCCACTGAGCGCTGGGATTTGACACCAGTTTGATTCACGATGGTTCGGACAATTTGCTCTTCCCCGATACCTTCGGCGAGGAGTTCCGCTATGCGCCAGTAAACTGGAAGCGGCACTTCGTGGCTGCATACATTTATGGTGGGTACGCCTTTGTAATTGGGGAGTGGTGCGAAGAGCACTTGGTGCGTCCCCGAGTTCGCAGGCATCACGATCAGTTACACGGTAGATAGCACATTGACAGCGGACTATACATTGAAGGCCGACTTAGGCGCCGCGCATATTCGTGCCCATCTCTTGAGCACTGGTGATTCTCCATTAAATGTTCCTGTCCATGCTCTTTGTTGTTTCCAAGACGATTTGCGACCACCGGATCCGGGAACAACATTCTTTACCGCAAACAAAGGTCACAGCGTACAAAACTGGCCACGATTGTCATCAAGCACGGAAAGTTGACCCATTCTCTAGAAACTGGACGTTAAGATTGTCAATCACAACGCAGCCTTGTACGGCAGTCGTGTTGAGTCAGTCATACCTAACCCTACTCTTGCTCGAGCCATTTCCCGGCATTCACCCGAGAATATGGCGTCAGCCATAGTTGAGCCCAATATTGGGTGAATGCGTACCTCCCTACAGTTGCTAACTACCCAGATACCTGCAGCATCACCCAACTCAGCTGGTTCGGCGTGTATGACGAGGAACCTGCACTGAAATATGTAGCTGTTGATCTACCGTTTAGCATTTTTGTGCTGCAAAGTGAGCGTTCGACCATGAAAGTTGCGGACAATTTGATTTGGAATTGTCATCATGAGAGTGTCATTGTTTCTCATCATCGTCGCCTCATTAGCGTCAATTTATGCCTTACATTATGTGCTTCACAAGACAACCTTGGCATTACCACTCGCAAGGTACCTATCCTGAGCAGGGTTTTTCGTCTCCTGTTCCCTCTCAATGACCACAACCTTTTGCATCCCTGTCTTCCATGTTCTCCGACTGGTCGATGATACTTGCAGACCAACAGTATCGTGAAGAGTAATAAAGTGCAAACGAATCAGGGGTATCGTAATCGAAAATTGCGCCATGGGATGCGCCGCGGATTCGGACTGGTCCCGAAAATTGAAGAGACACGCCATCCCGTGCTTCTAAACCATGTATTCAGTGTCAGACCACATCACGAGCAGGTGGCTTCCTCGGAGTGCTCGATTGCGACGACATCAGGCAAAGGAGCATGTGGAAGCCCGGTGGCTTTCTCGACATTTTTGCGTTGTATGAGTGCTTGCGTCTGCCATCTTGCCTCTAGCCTGCTTCTCTTTTCTGTGAGAATCAAGATCGCATTTGTTTGTTGGTTTGTATACTGTTGTTCGACAGCAGAAAGTTCTCTTTCCAGCTCCTGTTCCAGTTTACTGATTTCTCGATCTCTCTTGTCGATGAGGTTTTCCACCGCTTTCTTCTGCTTCCCTCTCAAAACATTAATTTTGGACATGTGCAGTGTATCCATTGCATCACGCTCACGATATTGTTGTGCTAGGCTATGATAGTCTTTTTCTGTAACCTTGCGTTCTGGCATGGAGTCAGTCGATGGTCGTCCCGAGGCTACCTCAACAGGGGTTGGAGGTGGTGTAGGATTCCGACAATAAGCTTCCATATGACGGAGTCGTGTCATGACCGCCCGCTTTTCTGTTTCGTGCTCCTTGAGAATTTTCAATTCCGCTTCAAGTTGACGGGCTTCAAGTTCTTCAACGGCCTTCTCTTTCTGACATGTGTTAGTTGAGCTAGAATCGGAAGAAGCCATCAACTCACCTTCTCGATCTGATCAGTCATAATCTTGTCCCAGTCTTTCCTCTTCTGGGCTTTGATCCGATCACATTGTACTTTCGAGTCCGATATGACACCCGATTGAAACTGAAGAAAGCGCTCCTTCTCTTCCAGCTGTATCGTCCGCAACATGAGCATCGCCTTACAATTTCTGCTTCTTTCGATTGCGTCAGAGTCGTACAAGTCTTGATGGTCATAACTTGATTTAGTGGCCGACAATGGGTGTGACCATGAGCTCTGGGTGGACTTGATTGACACTGGACTTTTCAAGTCACTCTTGATGGAAAGCTCACTGTCGGGATCATTGACGCCAGCATCGCTGCTGATACTTGACAAAGAGGAAGAGGCTAAAGTGGTAGACCTGCGCTTGCGAAAGCCAGTCACTCTTCGGAAGCCCCGCCGAAAGGGAGAGCCAGGCTTTTTCGGAAGAGAGGAACTTGTCGGATTCTCGGATGCTGCAGAGGGTTTTTCCAGCATGGGCGATGGTTGAATTGCATGAGAATACTCGCTCGATGCACAAGAAGTAGGCGCAGTTGAATATGATTGAATAGATCCCTGGTTGAAAGAGTTGGAGCGAATTGTGGCTGTTGATCTCGAAGGAATGACACTCTCAACATCCGAGGCAGGCCGTATAGGCAGTAACCCGAGACCTTTAGCCTCGAGTGCAACGCGATCATCTAGCTCGTCCTCCGTTACTGGAGGATTGAGTTGTAGAACTGCGACGTTGTAAAGGTCCAGGTCGACCAAGTTATAGGAACCTTTCCAGGCATCGTCATCAAAGCCGGCATGCTTCCAGTCTGAGCCAACGAGTAAAGGTGAAGAGCCAGGAAGAGAGGGCGAAGTCCGCTCGGTTGCTGTCATCTTGAGCACAAGAGACGGTGGGTGAGTTTGCCAGAATAACAGCGGGTGGTTACTTGGCCATGGTGTCACGCCGGGGTGCCCACCAGATTGCGCTTCGAGGGTTGAGGTAGGACCAAAGTGATTGTGTGTGTAACCGCGAATCGACAGGGTCTCAAAAGCGCTTGCGACAATATTGACGGGTGTGTGGAAGTCGGTAGGCAAAATGGTGAAACACAGGTCCCAGTTTTCTAGAACACCTTGTCAGTTTGGACGTATGACACCAAGAGAGTGTGACTTGCAGGTAATTTGGAGGGTGAAAACGAGTGTGAGGTTTGAGAGTGAAGTGTCTGTGAAGGATATTGATCACTGCGGTTGCGTTGAGTCGAGAAAGCCACGGATGAGATGCTGTGAATGTCGTAGGTGGAAGTGGTGTTGCAAGGATACCCAGCTAACCAGTCCCTACCAAGGTACTTGTACTGGTAGTGGCGGGTTGGTGGGTGGGTAGCGAGGAACGGCGGCGGCAGCTTCTTCGGGACGGGTGTGGGGACGTTCTGGGATGCAGGTTGTGGACCTCTTTGAACTGAACAGGGTTGGACCCGTCGAAGGGCAATGAAGGTTCTGGTGATTGGCGCCGCGGTGAGGTGGTAAGTGAGGGGGTGAAGGAGGTGGAAAAGAGCCAGAGAGACGATGATGGACCACAACAAAGTAGATATTATTGACAAGGTATGGTCCGAGTAGTGAGAGTGGGAACGGGTTGATGTTGGAACAGCAGAAGGCAGTGCTGGTGGTACGTTCAAGTTGAGGCAGAGGTGGAAGAGTCGGGTTCAAGTTAGGTAGGGATGACCGCCGTGACGGAGTGCCACTGCCTAAACTACTCTGGAATGATTCAATGCAAGTCCAGTGCTCGTACTTCAAGTCCAGCATCAGACGCTGGCAGGGAAGCAGCCACGTCAAAAGAATCACATTTGACGAGTCGAATTGCCGTGACTTGCTTGTTTGGCTGCCGTCCGACGAATCACCACGACTGGAGAGACAAGCGCCTGCCTGGTCTCCTCCTTCAGCCGTGTCCGCCGTGTCCTATTCTGTAAGATCGCCCTTTTGCAGTTCACTGGCATGGGAATTGGGAAGCTTCCAGACATGGAGGTGCATGATTTAGGTTTTCAAGATTTCCCTGGTGGCGCCAATGGTCCGTGCTCACTCCTCTTCAGTCTTCAGTCTTCACGACCTGACCAGCTCCTCATACCGAGTAATGCCTGTGCACTTCTGGAAACCTTCAGTGTCAAGCTGTCATTGGGCCTCCTTCCTGTTGAATCACTGCATTGCCGTCGGTGGTAGTCTACTCAGGCCATCACTTTGAACAGTTGAGTAGTATTATCAGTATCAAGTATATCGGGGCTCTCACCAAAGATCTCTTGGGTGGCTTGAGCTATCCACAAGATCTGACGGGAGTCCGATCGAAACTCGATTTAGGGGTGCGAAGCGAGGTTCGGGACTGGTGAATGAACTAGCTTGGTCAGTTGAGATTGTAGATCTTTAGGCCTCTTTAGTGACGGACTTTTGACACTCTGAGGGCGCCCTAGAGCCACCAAAGAGGAATGACCTTAGTTACCTAGGTAGGTACCTATGCCCTATCCGTAGCGATGTCGGTGCCTAATTAACTCGGTGCTTTCCACTTAGCCTTGGGCCTCTCAACCTTAGCCTGACTTGAGATATAAATGACTGCTGTCAAACGTTGACTTTGCACACATCAGTTGGTCACTGGCAACCGCCCTATCTCCAACAGTTCGCGTCGGAAGCCGCCTGCCAGGACTGTTGGACGCTGGGCGCTGATTGACCGCTTCCTCCGGCATTATAGCTACCTTTGACGCTTTGATCATTGAAAACTTCGAGAAACCCACATCCTTGGTCCCGGCGTCGCCCTCTCACCGTGTTCAGAGTTCTAGTTGACTTTTCGTTTCCAGTTGCACAAACACTGGCAGCCAGCACCGATGACGTCTTTCAGCCCTCGCAACTCGCTTACAGCCGAAGAGTCTAATTCTTTCGGGTATTCTCAGATGCACATCATCTCAACCCATCCAGCTTCCACATCCCGCACAGCATCCACAAACGGTAATTACCAAGGGTTGTAGGCCAAAAGCAGACAAACTAACAATTGTAACCACAACTTTGCAAGATCCGTACTATTGGGATCTTCATCCTTATTTCCTCCGCACTAATCTGTCAAATACCTCACCAGACTTCGAATTTTTCATAGCTTGCCATGAGATCGATTGCCGGGAACCTGCCAATGATGCTGGAAAGGTGGCCCGCTTGACCCCAAAAGAGATGATTCCAAATACATCTTGCACGCCACGATAGTGGAAGAGCGAAATCATGAACTCCTTCGACCCGAACATGGAAATTACCCAGTTGGCAAGGGGTGATGCTATGGGCGCAAAGTACCTTAGCTAGGTATTCTAGATATGTACCCAAAGTCGTTTCCGCAATCGTGGCTATTGATCGTCCTTTGTTATCCCCAACTTAACTTCACTACTGTACCTCATCCGTGCACTCAAGTTTGCTTTTCAACCATCTTAGTATGCATGTCCGCCAATTCAGGGATGATTAGGCTCTCAATCTCCAACCCTTCGGTTACGGTCCCGCCTTCAAGATCTATGGGATGTTGCTCGTGCTTGCGTTCAGCCAATCCAATCATCTTCTCGATTCCGGAAAAACTTTTGGATCTCCGAGTCTTGGGAACCCTCACCCAGTGCTCTCCACCGTCGCGGGTGATGAAGACCACTTCCCATTTTCGTGTGGTCAACAGATTACCAATGACAACGTCGTGATGGTAACGCTCAAGGGCTTGCTCCGCCTTGGCAACCAGAAGATCCGGATTGGTTTCCAGCTTGAAGCTCACAATCATACTCCCCTTAGGTGCCCATGACTGTACCAACGTGTTGAGGAACTTCGGAACCGGATCAAGGTTGATAACCAGCTGTCTGCTAGCTCCAGAGCCCTGGCCACCGGTCTCACCATCCGCCCCGTTGTCACGGGATTGGATCTTGTGCTCGTCCATGCGCTCGCGAGGAATGAAGAAGTCCGAAACTGCGGCTGCGAGGTAGAACATGGCGCGGCTACCAATTGGGTGCATCAATGTTGCAAGGGCCCGAAGTTCGAAGAGATAATCAGTAACTGTGACGAAAGGCAGGAGGAGTAGAAGCCGGTTCTGCTTGGCATAATGGTATTCTTCAAGAACTCGCCGCATCTTTTCTTGATACTCTTTCCGTACTACGACTCCCCCTTCATCGTCTTGGTGTTCATCCATGAAATCGAGGAAACAGTTGGTACTGTGACTGTAGTGTCTCGAATATGGCAACAGGCTGAATTGCCTATGGAGGAAGATGACTGCATAGCCCTGCTTCAAGAAGTATTCTGCGGATGTTGCTCCGCGAGTCCCGGCTGAAAAATTATCAATGAATCGAACAGTCTGGTTCTCAAGTGGAACAGTAGTCCCGCCTGAAGTAACCAGCACGATCCGCCGATCCGGCGAAGTCTCCGCGTGGTATTGTATGAATTCACGGGCAAGGGCTTGATGGCTGTTCAACGCCTTTGGCGAAGGGTTCTTCTCAAAGTATTCAGCGGCGGCGTCCTTGGACGACTCCGTCGTCTTGTGAGGCGACATGGCAACCGGTTTTCTTCTGACCGCGATGCAATCTGTGCTGGGATCACGACTGGGTACTTCGATGCCAAGCACAGTGCGGAATGTGCTGATATGATGCTGCAATCTTCAACTCTGGAACCAATGTGTGGAAGGTGTCGAGCTCATGTGAACGCGTACTGGACAGAACATCAAATTAAGGAAGAAATGATGAGTCTTCCCGTTGACCGAAAACCGAAGCTGATCGACCTGGAGGATGAAAAGTGCAGCGCAGAGTCCATCATATGCCTAACGATCGCGAAATCACTTATTGTAAGCCGGTTTGAACCTCACAAATGGCCATATTAAGATGTCTCCCGGAAAGGAGGATTATCTATATCGACGACAAACTACGAATATCAACCGCGGTAAAGATGTACTCGTGGTGGATGAACGCTGTTCGAAAAGATACTGGTGGGTCTGGGAACGTTCGATGAGCCGAGGTTGAACCCATCGACGAATATTGACGTCATAGTAATGCTGGTCACGTGTCGCTTCACGTGCCATAAGCCACCATCGACCTTGGAAGTTTTCGAGCCAAGGCATTTTGCAAGGCTGACTTCTTTCCAACCACTATGGCGTCGTGTTCGAATTCGCGATCGTATTCGGGTTTACGTTCCTGTTAAACACACTCACAAAAAAGGTCCAGCAACGGTGATTCGTCCACACAATCCATAAACCACGTGTTCCTCGTCTGGATCTGTCTTAATGGAGATAGATAGGAACTCCTTGACAAGGCACTCATCAGGCTGTCTCAGGCATCACCATTTCGAAGGCCCAGAATAGCTCTGCTGGTTCTTCTGTTGCGTCTGCCAGCGAGCTAGCGGCGAAGCGTGCTTCCTTAATTGGCGATTCGATTCTCGCGAGTATGAACGCACTTGTCCACTGATGATCCCTAACAGTTTCTTGCAAGTTGTCTCGCCGGGACTTCTATGCTCATCGTATTTTGTACCCTTCCGATACGTCCCTTCTTTCGATAGGCGTTTCTGTGGGCTCTCCTGAAATCCATTGCGATCAATGTGGAGCTTCATTTTGTTGCCGCTAAAGTTTGATATGCTTCTTTCGAATATGTGCACGAGCTTCAGAGAGAAGCCGTTGGTGACCGATCATGCTAGGAAACTATAGATACTCCATGCCAATCGCAACGAGATCGAAAATGACAACACTCCTCTTGAATCTTCCCATCTAATAGAAAGTCACAGTGTTACACGAATACAAGATGGCTGTCTTCCCAAGCGATATTTCGTTTTACCGCTACGCACCCACAAAGGGGCTCTCGGCCGCGTTTGCAGCGCTGTTCGCCATTTCCGGAGCTCTGCACATCTGGCAGAACAACCTCAAGTACAAATCATGGCGGATTGGCTTTCTGCTCCCCTGGGCGGCGACGCTTTTCGTCGTTGGGCTTTCGATGCGCGAGTATAACGCCCACCACTCTGGCAACCTTGGACTCTTCATTTCAAGCTCGGTACTTCTCTTCATTGCTCCGCCAGTCTACCAAGGCGCCAATTACTTCATCTTCGGTCGGATCCTCTACTATCTGCCCTACCACTCGGTGTTACATCCAGGCCGAGTCTGGACAACATTCGTCGCGTTGGACATGGTCGATGGCGTCCTCGCCGGGATCGGCGCCTCCTATGCTTCCAATCCCACCCACACTCCAGGAGAAATCAAGATGGGTGTAATTCTGGTCAAGGCATCACTGTTCCTCCTTCTCGCCATGTTTCTCGCCTTTGTCTACCTAGTTTTCCTCTTCCATCGCCGCTGTCGCGCAGGAGGTGCATTGAACTACAAAGCAACAGTTATCATCTACGAACTTTACCTGTCGAGCTTCCTCATCCTTGTCCGCAACTGCTTCCGAACAGCGGCCTTCTTCTACCCTCCCACTGCGCCCGCCAACGGCAAAGAATGGCCTTTCTGGGTCTTTGAGATCGTCCCCATGCTGCTCAACAGTGTTCTCTTGAACATCTATCCTCCGGCGAAGTACCTGCCTAGGAACTACAAGATATATCTTGCTGTGGATGGCAAGACGGAGATCGAGGGCCCTGGCATGGTTGATAAGAGACCTTTCATAATGACCTTGTTTGATCCGTTTGACATCGCGGGCTTGGTAGCTGGGAGGGACAACAAGAATAGGTTCTGGATGAAAGATGGCATTGGTGGACCTCTCGAGGCGGGAGGCGCTGAGCTGCAAGAGTCTGTCGTGGCCCAGCAATCGGCTAGGAAGCCTGAATGAAATTTCTAAGGGTATGAAGGACGCAGAAGCGCATGCACCATCACTATTGGCGAGAGTACGATTGGCTCTGAAACGTCAGAGTAGGAGAGATTACGATGGCCCCCAAAGGTTGGTCCTGTCACTTGGAGGTCTTGGAGTAGATGAGGGTTCATTCTGTTCAATTTCAATTTTATGTCAAGGCTGTATTTCTTGTTTTCACGAACGGTTTATCGGCGTCTTGAGGTAGTTCTAGACTGAATCATCGACAATCTCTAGGTTCCAATTAGTAGTCAAGATAGCTCAGGTCCCTTAATTTTGGCGCGATAGAATGTCGTCGTGTCGTGGACACGAAGGTCGGATTGCTTTTGGCGAAGCAAGCCATTGGTGCTCTGCTTGCACGCCTCCGGGCTCCAAATAAAGTATTAAGCTTAGAAGAGTGTGCGAAGCTGGGCGTCAATGGGCGTGCACCCCCCAAATAACAGATCCTCGCCCGGGTGGCTCTGAGGCATTTCTGGCTCTCGGGATACCTGCCTTCAGTGGTAGCTATGCCTAATCATAACTACTGTAGGTGTGGAGGATGTCGTCACTTGAGGTTCTCTCTCTCCATTTCACTGCAACTCCTGTCGATCATCCAGTGATCATAGATAGGACCGGTTTTCTCATAGCGAAGACACGTCATACGCTGTCGTCATGTTGTTGAGAGCAGTTTGTACGATTCCAGCATTGAAAGGCTTTCGCCTGCGCTCTGGATGTTTCCCAACGTCTTTTACCGCCCGTGCAGCGATCATCATCACATAATTTGACAGAACCCATACCGCACTAATATCCAGTGTCGCGAAGATGGCAGATCAAACACAAAAACAGACGCATGGTGTTTTGGGTGATGTGAAGTCTGCACTGAAAGGTGTTAAGGGTGCTGGCGATACAATCCGTGGCACCTTCAATGAGTCGGTTGATACTGCTTTCCATGAGAGAGAGGGAGAGGCCAAGAACAAAGCAATCAAGGAGAAAGGCATTGCCGACATGGAAGGTACAGATGCACACTTCAGCAAACATAAAGGGACTGCACATACGACGGCCACCACAAATCAACCATACAACGGAACAACAAGCAGTGTGCCTGTTGATCAACATCCTGCTGCCGACCCGCGCACCGTCCCACAGACTGGGGCAGTGACTGGTGGTCTCGCACGCAATACTCAGCTCTCAGATGGCACGTCGACTGGGGCTGGCGCTCATTCAGGAGCTGTAGGAAGCTTGGAGAGCCGCGTTCCCCAGGAAAGGCTCGGCGGCGAGCCCACCCACTCAAATGATAGATACTAAGTCCGGTTGTCAGGCCGGTTGTGTTTGTGGCATAACAATCACTGCTTACCATCTTTGGTTTGCGAAATTCCATGGTCAAAGACTCTCAACAAAAGATCTGTGAGACTGCATCCTGCATTGCTGCCCTGAAAAACTCTCACAAGGGTCGTCCATGCCTCCTTAAGGAGTTGTTCTTGCCTCAAGCGGTCGCTCCCTTCATCGCACTCTCACCTTCCAGTACACATTTCGCTACTGCCTCATCTTCTCTTTCCCTCCAGCCATTCCTTCCCTTCAAGCCCTGGAAGGTACCGCTCTCTTTCCTTCCCTTTTCACTCGTCTCACCTGTCCGATGAAATGAAGGACACTCCTCCCGAGAAGCAACCCTCGCCGCAAACCTCACTCAATCAAGGCTCAAATCCAATTGAAGCACTTGTCGCTTCTTTCACTCAGTCACTCTTCATACGTGCTAAAGCCCGGTCGGGAGCGCCTGAGATGTCCGGCAATCCTTTCATCCCATCTTCATCGATTCCACCCTCATCAACCCCATCTTCTTCGACTCAATCTTCATCAATCCCGTCTTCTTCAATCACCTTCCAACAAGCACGCCTGCTTGTTCCGGGGAAGTCAGATAATATGGGACAAGTCCACAGCAAACCACCCACCCCAAAAGAAACACGCTCGTATCCAGAGTTCGGCAAGAGCAATTTCACGGGCTCGACTTTCTCTCCTGTTTCAACAGGACCCATGGTCAAAGAAGAATCCGCAGACAGTTTCTTGCTTAGGACCTCTGACTTTGACCCACCAATGTCTGGCTTTCGCCCAGCCATAGATACTCCACGTGCAACACCATTCTCAACCTTCCCCACAGATGCGAGAACTCAGGGGTTTCTTCGGCTTGTGAAGAGCTCTTCGGCTGATGATGATTTCAATTTCGCGAGTACTCTGGAGCACAAAGAAAAGCTCGGGGACATCAGAGCAGCACCCTTGTTTTCGAATCGTGTAAGACTTGCCCTAGACTCGGGCTATATGAGACGGATGGGAGCCGTCGATCCTATCGCATTTCCCCAGTATGGTCTACTTGGCACCTGCCAGCAATTCTACGGCAACGAGCGACTCAAGTCAGAAGTTCTCCCTGTTGAAGACAACTTTCTCATGGTGAATATGAACACCCCATGGTCTGCTTTTGTTTGCGGATCTCAGGGTAGTGGTAAAAGCCACACCCTATCTTACATCCTTGAGTCAGCTCTCCTGACTTCCTCATCGGCTGGTGAAAATCCGGAGCCCCTTGCAGGATTGGTCTTTCATTATGATCATTTCACGAGCCAGGAAAGTGCACAGTTATGTGAAGCCGCATATCTGTGCTCTTCCGGTGTTCCTGTTCGAGTCCTTGTGTCGCCTTCGAATTATGCTGCTATGCACCATTTGTATAGTAATCTACCAGGCTTGCCAGAAACTTCTCCCAAGCCACAAGTGGTGCCGCTTTACATCAAGGAGGAACATTTGAATGTCAGCCGGATGATGACGCTCATGAATATGAACAACGTTGAGAATCCCCCGCTCTACATGGAAGTCCTCTATCAAATTTTGCGTGATATGGCTATGGACAACAACGGCAGCCCTGGTGTTGACTACGCTGACTTCTCAGCGCGGTTAGACAAGCAAGGGTTTAATGAGATGCAGAATGGTCCGCTGAACCTTCGCCTGCAGCTTTTGGAAGCCTTTCTCGCTCATCGTGACCAGTCTACCGAATCCTCAGCGTTGCTAGATGATTATTTCAAATCGGCACAAGGAACTTTAACGATCGTTGATCTGAGCTGTCCCTTTGTCAATGAGAACGATGCCTGTGCGCTTTTTACCATTTGTCTGTCCATATTCATGGAGCATCGTTCTGAGTGCGGGAGAATTATAGCTATCGACGAGGCACACAAAGTAAGTTTCAAAGCCTCCTTACGGCGACCAATAACTGACATACATAGTTCCTGACAAAGACCGGCGAAGCCAAGAGACTGACCGAGCAGTTGGTGTCTCTCATCCGACAGCAACGTCATCTGAGCACTCGTGTGGTAATTGCCACTCAAGAACCTACGTTGTCCTCTCAACTCATTGACCTATGTAACATCTGTATCGTCCACAGATTCAACTCTCCTGCGTGGTTCAGCGTCCTGAGAGACCATCTCGCAGGCGCGAACGCCAGTTCTGGTGGTGGCAAAGCAGAAGCTCCGCAATTATTTGTTGATATTGTTGCTCTTCGCACAGGTGAAGCTTTCGTGTTCTGTCCCACTGCTCTGATGGACGTGGTCGAAGGCCAAATGGTCAACCTACAAAATGGTTTCATCAGAGTCAAAATCCGACCGCGCTGTTCCGTGGATGGGGGTCGAAGCATTCTCGCTTCAGATCGAGCTTCCCTCATCAACATTCAGCCTCGTCGGGTCTCAGATATTGTTCGTCCTTACCCCCGACGCGAGAACGTCAGAACCAAACGTTCACGAGGTGAGAGAGGTGGTAGTTCCACCACAACCGCAATGTTGGACACTTCGATCCCGGAAGTGGTCTACAGCACGCCGCCCGTTTCTACTCCTCCTGCACCAGTCAATCCACCCGCAGTGCAGCGGCCAGTCGTATCTGCAGCAAGTCAACTATTTCAGACGAAAGCTGAGAAGAAGATCATTCTTAACGCACTGCGTGACGAGACCATAGCTTTTTTACGAGCACATCCACATAGTCTGACATATCACGAAGTGAGACGAAGTGTCGCTGCAAGTCTCAATCTCCCCAACGGGTTTTTCAACGAGTTGACCTGGGTCCAACTTAGCAAGAACGTTGTGAAAGAACAAGCGGTATGTTGTTTTTGAGGAATCTGATGCTTGAATTGCATGCTAACGCGATTGACTTATAGATCAAATACTCGAAAGCTCACAATCTTCCACGCGCGATTCTTAACTGAATACTCAAAACCAGAGTCGAGATTTGGAATCTCTGGAATGTTTGAGCAACCATGGATTCCGCTGCGACATAAAGTTTTTGGAGACTGCCCATGCCACTGTGGTTTTAAGGGAGGTTTCGGAGCTCCGATGTGCAAGTGTGAGCATCCCGAACAATGTGGGAGGTATGAATGTGTTTTCCTACATGAAAACAGAACCTGCTCTGCCACAGCTGTTGATGTATTCGCCGTTTCGGTTACACACAACCAGACTGCGGAGGAGAGAAGCAGCTGCTGGTCCCAACAAGTCCCTACGTGCAGCTTTCATCATAATCTCGTGGGCAATACCATCGGAGGACGGTTGAATGAAACTTGTGTTGGCATGTCTACTAACAAAGATATGCTGATTGCGGATTCAGGAACCCATGTGCCGTGTTAGTCAGCCAATGGAGTAGCGAACCCTGGTAGCCTTAGCTCAAATTGCTCCTCCAATATGGTCCTCCCATCCTCTCGTGTACAACTCTCGCTGACTTGCACAGATGATAATAAATAAATCTGCTAGTTTCCGCGCGGGTTGATGTGCTTCTCAAGCTCGACGTCAACCGATCAGGACTTTTGCACGAATTCTCCATGCCCCACGATAGATCCAATGACGAACAAATAATTTTGTTCCCACTAGCAATGGATATTCATCTTGAGAACAAAAGGCTCGTCGTCGCGCATTTCTCGAGGGCGAATTCTTCCACCTTCGCTCATTTCCTCTTTGCTCTTTCGCTCGAGTCCAACGGGTTGGCTCTCAACCCCTCGAGCGCTCCAACGATATGAGAGTTCTCAATCTCCAGCTTGAGATAATATATCCCCTCATCGAAAAACACGATACTATCACTTTGCCTCGCCTGGTCAAACATCTGCCTCGCTTGCCCTGACACGCCAAACTCCGAGCCGCCCACCCTGGCTCTAACGGCGGCACCGCCCCTGTAAGTTTGGCCTCGAAGGCTGGAATGTCCATTTTGAAGTCGTGGTTTCCGGCGATGATGAGTTCCAGGGGCCCATTGGTTCTCCAGGGGATGTAGATTGTGGTGCGGGATCCCAAGAGATTGGAACAGTCGGTCAGATCGGGGTGTGAAGGGCTCCATCCGCGACTCTTCATGCTGGGGAGGGAGAGAGGCGTTTTTGGCCCAGAGGTGGTGATGAAGGGTAAATGCTGAAGCTCATACCTACACAGTAGTACTGCTACCGAGATATCGCTGAGACTGGGAAGGTTCGTCTTTGGAGACCATGGCAAAATGTATCAAATACACCTCCTCAACACATAGATCTGTTTTGAGAGCCGATGTATTCAGGTTAAACACTACCTAGGTACTTACTAGAGTTCGCCTGTCTTTGGCTCACCTTGTACGAAAGTCACAGCGTCTCAGCACGGTCGGAGACCATCCCCATGGTTAGTTTAGAGTTGATAACCAACACTTCCAAGGTTCTTGAGCAGTTAGAAGGCTCGATTCTCATCCTAAATCCAGTTCACCATTCTTAGACAGATTATCGCAACCATGTCCGTGAAAGACATGGCTGTGTACGTCAGAGACCTTGGTATCCCCGGCCATGCAAGGAAGATGAGATTAGTATCAAGATATGCGATCCTGTTGTCGTCACCTTTTGCATCTGGCCAGCACCAAGGAGAATGGCTCGGACTTCATGGCTTTGAGTCGGTCGAATAGTAAACCAGCAAAGTCACGAACTACGGAGAGTGCTATTGAGCACGATACCTCGTAGCTCGGCTTTCGTATCGATGGCTGATATCGCTTGACATCATGAACACCACCGAAGTACGAGGGAGTTAATTCTTGGAGTGATATGCGGAGTAAGAGACTGGAAACAGTTCAAGACGTTGTGAGTGGATTTGATGGTTCAGTGGCCAATAACGGTAAAGAGACTGGCTTGCCGTGAACTGTGACAAAACCATCCTAGCGGAAAGGCTCAAACGCAGCCTTGTTGCTTGCAACAATTACGGTCATTGGTGCGCACTCGAGGTTGCGTATGATTGCATCTACAAACGTGCAGGTCGCAATTCGTGGTGAAGGGGTCCATCGAGATTACATTGCCCTGCTGGTCTCGAGGCTATCACTGCTTAAAGGTGACTTAGCGCCTCTGGTGTAGCATCGAGCCAGACCGACTCCCAGAAAGTCTAGATCACGCCACAAATCCAATCTTGCACAAGATTGTGGCAGGAGGCTCTTGCACACGAGAGCCTCGGCCTTCATGATGGAAATACGAGGTGATGGTATGGGCGCTGGAAGAATCCGGTGGCATTTCGAAAGGATCAGCCACAGCAATTTGCTCGAGTGGACATCCATCAACAAGCGTGCCACTGCATCGGTACGGCCAGTTATCTAACTTTACCGGCAGCTTTGGTGGGTTTAGGTGCCACTGTCACACCAGCAGTCAACAAGCATATGGACGCATTTGTCGCGTTGTTTACCTTGCCCTGATGGCTGAAATCCCAAGTTTCAAGTTGCGCCATACGACTCACGCGATATTTCAGGACCAGTTCACAAGTATCATTCGGCATGAAGATTTTCTGACTTCGTACGAATATGCGTACCGAATCTATTGAAGTGCAGGTTTGAACTCGACGTAGAAGCACCAGTTTCCTTGCACTGCGAGCCCAAGTCCTTTTCACCAAATGCATCTTGTTTCTTCGAATGTCCATTCAGCAGAAGAACCACCAAAGGATCTACTAAACGAAAGTTGTCACTGGCGTGCAAGCCGCAACCAGTGAAGTGGCAGCGCTTCGTCCTTCGACCTCTAATTGTCGGAGGAGTAAATTATATAGTCGGTAAACATCAAAGGTAGCGTGATGTCTATTGAAAACCGGTTCAAAAGGAAGGTCCAATCCCCGCGCCAGGAAAGGCTGCAAGCGTTCAATCGAGGCCACGCCTAAAGCTCGGTGCAATTACACTAAAAAGCTAGGGCCGCCGGTTGGTCGCGAATTTGGGAGCATGGAAAGATCTAAACAGCGTCCACCCCGGGCCGAGTGCTGCTGGGCGGGGGTAAGGGCCAGGAGCATTGTAGATCTGGCCGGGATATTCCTGGTTCAAGTTCGAAGGGGGCCCGCTAACACCAAAGGTCCAATTGTGCAACACCTACCAAGCGAGCGCCTAAACAACTTGATGAAAGGTCCGCGCTCGCCAAAGCAGGGGGAAATTGCACTCACGTGAAAGACTATTTGGCGGCCCATTGCGAACGTGAACAAATGATAACAACATCAAGCTTAAAGACGACTATCAACAGTAGTCACGGGGCAATGTTGATGGAGACACGAACTTCACTACTCGATACTCAAATGAACGCGGATTCATTTTCCTGCGGAGTAGAAACAAGAAACCGACCCCAATTCTCCCTTGCCCATACTTTCAGACCTCGAATCTCAATGTTCAGGCATACGGTGGCCAAGAATAGCGAGACGTCAATCCTCGCTGAGACAGCCTTGGATAATCTCAGACTTGTGGACTGCTTCAATATCCTCTTGTGGCCCGTGGGTATGTCAGCAGATAGGTTAGATAGATCGCCAAGCGGTCGTTCATGATTACGATTTCTTCGAGAAATGGTGGAAACCTGTGTGCGTGTTTTGGTCAGAGAGACGAGATCAATAATGCGTCGCTTGACTGTGGACCTCGCAACTCGATAAACGAGCTGTTGCCCATGATCCCCGAGTCGGGCCTGATGGTCAGCTCTGCTAAGGCGTTAAGGCACACCGTACACCTCAGGTGTTGGCGTGCACGAATGGTCTCTTGTACCTTGGCCTAATACCTAGAAGGAAGACACCCGAAGGATATGATGATGGCGTACGAGGTGTCGAGTAAGCAGTAATAATGTGTACTTTCTGTAGTAGCTGATAGTGCGAGGGCCGTTACCCCCATCAGATGACACTACAGGGCACAGGTCAGGTTTAGGTCGGAATCATTCTATCTCTATGGTCTGTAAACGAATGCATCTAGGGACTCATTGGCACGGTGGTACCAGAACTTCCAGGCTCTGCATTACGGAATATTGCTGCAGCCATTGAAGCTTGTCTCCGGTCCGAGTCTCGTGGCACATTCGAGGCCGAAAAGACCCAAAGTGCAAGATTTGAGCCATTACGTGAGTAACTAGCATGACAACAAAGGAGCACACAGCACACCCTCTTCACCATGCTGATGATGCATCATATTCAGCACTTGCTCGTTACAAAGAGTGATGTTTAGGGTCTATGGATATGGAAGGGGCGAAACATAGGTCTGACGTGTCAAGAAGGACGAAGTCAAGCAAGGGAAACCTCCATTGTTCCTAGATATCTGGGCAAACCATCTTGGCTGCAGAGGCGATGGACTTTCCCCTGGAGCGTCAGACGAGCGGTTGGGAGTGAGACTGACGTCCTCGAGACTCTCGGCGTGTAACGCAAGATCTCAGTAGGGTAACAATGCGTCCTCCAGGCTGTCGCGTACTCTACAGTAATGGGGTGGATGGGATAGTGGAGGTGCTGGTCGTCGTGAACGTTATTCCGAGTAGCGAAGAAACGTACGATGGGAAACATATCATAAAGTCGGGTTTTTGATTTATGTTCATTTTTCTTGTCCAAATCTGGTAGACTGTCGTGCATAACTGTCATCTAAGGTACAAACTGTGGCATATATATGAGAAGAATTGAATATGGATTAAAGGAGTAAGTTGTTATACCACTGGTCGAGATGGCATAAGAGAGAATGTTCTTTTCTGAATCCTCCAGATGAGTAAATTTCCGATTGTCGGAGAATGTGTCAACATGAGGCTGGTGGTAAGGGGTAATAAGTAAAAAAAAAGTAGATCAACGCCCGTCATTATCTATGCGATCACCTCCCATAGTTGCTCAGTATGCAAGACAGTGAAAATGATCTGTCACCTGATTTTGTGGTATCAAAAAGTCCCGTGTAACCCATAAACAATTGCAATTATAGTGATGCGTGCTAATCATGAAATTATGCGATGGGGTGGAGCTTGCCCTTCTTCTTGAGCTTGCTGGTCTCCAGTCCGTTACCACCGTTGGCGTAGGCGGCTGGAACCTCTGGCCAGTCATCGACACCATCAAGGAATGCAACGGCCATGCCGCCTGCAACGTGGGTCTGGACGTGACAATGGAACAAGAATGGGCCAGGGTTGACAACCTCATAACGAAGCACCATCCAGGTATTGTTTTGCTCGTTGGGGATAGTAGTGTACTAAGAAACATGTTAGTGACCAAGTTCAGTTAAAGTGAGAAAATAGAATAGCTTACTCCATCGCGAAGGGGAGGGTTAACAAAGTTGAAGGTGTTTGCTGGTAGAGCAGCAGCGGCCTCGCTGACGGTTGCCCAGGTCCAGTTTCCTTGACCCTTTCCAAGGACGTAGGCCTTGTTGGAGTGCTTGTGCATTGGGTGAGGTTGAGCAAGAGGTCCTTGAGTCTTGATGATGAGATCGACCCATTGTCCAGTCGTGGTCTTGTAGATAAGGTCGCTGGTGGAGATCTCGGTGGGGTCGAGATCGATCAGAGGATGTTGGTCTTCGAGACTGGCGTTGAAAGCAGTAACACCGCTGAGGGTCCAGTCGTAGGCACCGAATGGCTGTCCTAGTTTCTTGATGTTCATGGTGAAGGTAACATCAGCACTTGGTGCGGGTGCGGCAGCAGGGAAGGGAGCAGCCTTGTTGTCGTTGAAGGCGACCAGAGTTGTCAAGTTTCCACCTGCAAAGTTCATGCCGGCCAATGCATTGGGATCAGAGGTAGCTGGGCCAGATGATCCCTTGTAGCTCAGAACACCGAAACCACTGATAACCTGGTTAAGGCCGTTGTTGGCAACACGGATGGCGTAGTCAGCGGGAGCCTGGTTCAATTGAACGAGAACGGAATATCGATCACCGTTGTTGACAACGACCTGGTCAACGAGTTGAGGAACAACATATTGACCATCAACTGCATAGACCCACAGCTTGTGACCGTCAATGGTGAATTTCAGAAGCTCGTATCCACCGGGGTTGATGAAGCTCAACGCAGCCCAACCCTTGGAGGCATCGACGGTGATAACTTCGGCCTCGCCGTCACTGGGAGTGCAGGTTGAGTAGAGAGTAGAGGGCAGAGAGGCAATGTTGAATGTGAAGTTTCCTTGCGTCGCAACCAAATTGGGTGGCAAGCAACCCTTGTCAGTGATTTGAGGTGGGTTTACGGCAGCCAAGAGAGCAGCAACCTTAGGGTTGGTGTATGCAGTGAGCTCATCACGGGTCAAGCAGTACTGCGAGCCTTTTCCGTTGAGGATGATAGCATCGGCACAGGCGACATCAACGTTGGCATTGACCTGAGCATCGTGGAACTCCTTGGATGTCAAGCTGTTGTAGTCGGAAATGAAGATTGGCTGAAGGCTCAAGTCGGCTGCCTCGAGCTGCTTAACAACTGCACTGTCGTTGCTGATCAAGGAGAATGGCTTTGGGGCGTCAGAAGCAGCATCGATGATAATAGCACCATAGAGACCATCCATAATCTGCGATCTGAAGTGAGAGTGGTAGAAGTATGTTCCTGAGGCATCGGCTGTCCACTTGTATAGGTAGGACTCGCCAGCTGGAATAGGCTCCTGGGTGAGGCCGGGTACACCGTCAGCCCAAGGAGTGCCTTGCTGTACGATACCGTGGAAGTGGATTGTTGTAGCATCTGGAAGTTCGTTGTGAACGAGGAACTCGACATCGTCGCCAACTGTGGCTTTCAAGGCTGGTCCAGGGAATGTGCCATTGACCAGGATTGTCTTACGAAGGGTACCTCCGATGGGCGAATAATCTTTGGATGTTAACGTGACCTCGAACTTAACGGTCTTGCCTGCGCGTTTATTAAATGATGAAGGTGCGGCATGTGAGAAGAGAGCGAGTGAGAGGACGGTGACTGCGGTGATGAGCCTTGAGAAACCCATCGTGCCGACTAATATGTCTGTAGATAAAGAAAGAAAAAAAGATGGAACAACGAGTGAGCCCTTGAATCCAAGGGAAAAGCTGGAGAAATAAGAATAATAATATAGTAACTGGACAAACGAAAAGGTATACTTGAGGGGGAGAAGAGGTTGGGGCAGATATTATAATACGAAGAACTATAGTTCATACTTGATTGGGACAGGCTAACCGTGGTCCTTGCGGCTGTAGTCCTCCAGAATCTAAATGAGACCCAGGCCTGTCGACCAGGATCAAGAGGCAGGGGTCGCGCAACGCCACGATACAGCTTCTTTTTGACCCTACCCTAGCTTTGGTCGAGATCCCTGCAAGTGCAGTAGCATCCCGCCCCAGCCTAACAGTCTTTCTGAATCGCGTGGTTTTCAAGAGCCAATGGTGGCGGCAGCCGGCAGAGACCAAAGACGGAATGGCCGTGGTCAGCAACCTCACCCAAATGGTCCAAGGCTGAGCAGATCTATTTTGATTTGTGCCGTCAGATGTCAGAAGAGAGGCTGGCTGGGAAGGCCAAGGGCAATGAAGGCAGTTCCAAGGCTGGATGATGGTGTTCAGCAGATTGCTCATCAATGATCATCTCTCAAAACAATCAATCAATATGTAAACAAAAAATTGATGTCAGAGCGTCGGTCAATGATGAAATTGTTGGTTGAACGATTTCTGCGTGGGAGGACCACCGCCACAGAGCACAGGGCCCTGAGTTCTGTAGGACAGGTTGTTTGTGTGCCGGGAGAGTGTCAGGGGCAGGGGGTGGAGCCATGCCAAGGCCGAAGAAGATGATAGCGTTTGCGACAAGGAGGCTGGCGGGGTCACTAGCGAGCCGTTTGCATGACCGGTTGTGGGCAAAACTTGGTGGACTGATTGGCATGACCTGATGAGCTGGGGCCTTACCAGTCAAAGGACGAAGGAGCATTTTGCGACCTGGCTAAGCACACGCCAGAATTTCCCAAGTGTGCACAACCTGGTATCGCAATCTCGTCATAAAGAATCGTCCAATCTGCTAAAATCGAGCGATTCCCTTGATTGTTCTAGCTAGCGATACCCGTAGCGACATTGAACACTCCATATTCTGGAGGCATCAGGTTCCGATTCTTCTGGGGCAGCAATGTGTCCGAAGTAGGTACTCGATCACATGCCGCTCGTTCCTTGGAAAAGGTTGTCGAGTGGTCAACCCAAGGTCTGATGGGGCAGACCGCCCAGGGCCTAGAGGATAGTTCACAATGGGGAATAGTCCAAGATGCTGGTAAGAATAGTAACGTTTGGTTGGAAGGAGGGTTGAACCGATCTGACAGATCCAAAAAGCAGTCTTGCCTGACGCGAGTAAGTTGGAACCCCCTACCTGGGAGGAGGCCCCCTCGGTCCAAGATGTGAGGACCTGCAGCTAGAGCCACACCGTCAGACAATACTATCAGTTCACCTGTCAGGTGGTTGTAGTGCCTATCTTGGGCCTTGACACCTCTGCAGGAACATATGCTTAGTGGATTTTGGGTGGCGATGTTCGGGGCTGAGCCAAGGAAACCAAAACTCTTCGAAGCTGATGGTGACCGACATGTTGGCTTGACCAACAACAACGAGATCTGGACGCTTCCACGGCAGCCACCCATCTGGATCTACACTACTACTCACTATCGATAGTCGTCACAAGTACTCGGTACTGACCGCCGTAGACGCATGCGCATCATCAGCACTTGAGGCAATGAGGACGGGACACTCGATGTGGGCTGTGATTTTTTCAAAGCGTGAGATGCAGCTGCTGTGAACATCATTTGATCCTCCTTCCCATAGGGCGTGACACTATTCGTTGACAACACCTTCCCTTTACTCAACTAGGCTGCCGAAGAACAATCGAAATCGTAAAGTCTGACAGGGCTCGGTAATATGTGAACACTACTCGCAGATTCAAGGCAACCGACTAAGAAAGGATACGATCAGATCAATCCTCGAGGCAGTATGCTGATATGCTCGCATCAAGGCTTACTCTCACCCGATCAATACGTTGAGGCAGCCACAGAATGTCTTCTCACTTCTCAACAAGGATTCAAGACATGTCACTTGACTCCTCTTGACTGGAACTGTTAGGCCAAGACACATCCGCTTTGCCTTCAAGCAAGGCAAATTCTCCGTTGCGAGGGAAAGTTATGATTCGCCCGAGAAAACCCGCCCCACGGTTCAGAAAGCCAGAAGTCAGTGTCTATTTTGGGCATACCTGCATCTCGGCTCCCTCCACGGTGAAATCTTTATCTTGGCTACATTTCGATTGCATGATTCATTCTTGCGAGTCATAACGCGTACGAACAAACCTCTGTGCCTTGATCTCGGGACGACAAAGTTGCATGGAGGCAAAATATCAGGCCAAAAACCCGGTCTATCAGGTTCTCCGCAATGCTTAGCATGTCGAGGCTACTCTATCACGCGAAGACAATTGAACGATCTTCATCGCAGCTTCCCTCAATATTACTTGCCACCACACTTGTGAACATGGTTTGCTCCTCCTGCATCTGGCTTCGCTTAGAACACGGAATCTGAACCTCTTTGTGTCCTCGGCATGCATGTGGTCATCTTTTTGATATGCTTTCGGATCGAACACTGAAAATCCGGAGGCAAATGCTTTACGCATCCGTGCTCTTGGACTACATTGGCGGGCATCCTGTGAAAACCATGAGTTTGATGATAAACTGGTTCAGGGACATTAGGCAAGCTTGACGAAAGATAGAGCCAGCATCAATCCTTCGTCTACTCTGAATTTTGGGTAGTGAGGCGCGAGTAGTCCTCGCACAATTATTGCAGCCGGCTCAGTATCCTCGACTCTCCCACAAGATTCACACGTGTGGATCATGATCTGTCCAATGGATCGGTCTACCTGCTACATAAAAAATTCTTCGAACGAAAAATTATGGAACAGATGCAGAGTAAGCTCTTGGCGTCACTCGCTCTGGTTCTGCCTTGCAGATGTTTTACTCATCACAGTAGAATTTGGCAGTGCTTCGGCAGCAAGCTGTTGACAATCACAAACCTTTACGCCCACTACAAGCACCCGGGAACATGGTAAGAAGTAAACCGATCCGGGCTGGGATTGTATCAGCCTCTGCGCAGTAAACCAGTCCATTGAAGGCCATCCAGTAAGTATTAACCATGAAAGGCTATGATAGTGCAGGATTCTAGAGCTCTGTCTCTTCGAAGAACGCTATGTGTTCTGGAATTTCGACCATTCTCCTGGCGATTACCATGCCACTGGGACGTGCGGTACAAAGATACAGTCTTTGAATTCTTCACTCGCCGCGCTCTAGATACTCTGTCCTTCGAGTACTCAATCCCCAGTTTGATTCACTTTCTGAGAAGCCATTCTCGAGCTGCCTCCGGGGACTAGTTTTCAGATTCATCAGAGGCTCCCGCCGCCTCTTCCAGCGATGTTGCTGTCGTTGTTTGATTCGTCTCTAACAGTCCGGACCTAGCCATGCATTATGCTTATTTTGCATATGGTGAACGGCATGTTAGTGAACGGAGCCTTGGATATGCGCTTAGCTCGTAAGCCGGATCTCCATCGCCAGCCTGCACTTTTGAAAAAGAGCTGCGCACCCGTAGTCGCGAATCCTGTGACGAATAAGAGCGATTTAAGGTGCTGAGTTGTCTACTGGATAGGTAGGAGTTGTGCTGGGTGCCTGCACCACGCCCAACGCGGGGCAATAAGTCGGAAGGAGGGGGCAAAAATAATTGTGGGACACTGCATGGGCAGCGCTGGGCGGAGTGCCTGCAGGCGGCGAAGGGAACAACAACTTCCCCTCGGTTGCATGCATGATTGACTCCAGCCCCCCTTCAACCGCCATGCCTGCCTCCGGAAAATTCATTTGAGAAAGTGCTTCAGGTCTCCTGCAGGCGGCTTGGATGTTAGTTTAGATGACATACGAGGTAGGATAGGTCAAGCCCGGAGAGGATTTCTATACAAGCGGTGTGATGCAATCTGAAGATGGACGATGCACAATCACACCTTGCCAATTACTAACTACGAGTACCTAGGTAGCTGTTTCTCGAGCAAGGCGACCTCCAGAGGCTCCGCCAGCCTCGGCCCTCAACCCCTGTCAAGTGCTTCGAGATGACTAGAGAAAAGAAAAATGAGTTCTCTTACAAATGCCAAGCATCAAAAGCATTCTGGTTACTGCAGTACCCCATAGACAGTGAGCAATTCTGTCGCAAGCTATGCCAAGCCGTACAAATCACCCATCCCACGAGGAAGCTGGGTCACTGTTAGCCAACACTTGACTCGGGCTTTCTCCAGACCCAGTGGAGCGGCCGTACTGAATTCATACCGACTCAAGGTAGGCCAACTGCGCTCTCTGTGCCTCAAATTGTGATAGAAGTCTGTACTAAGCAGATACGGACTCCTGTACCTCATGATACACTCTACCAGTTGTTTCATGTTGTGGAAGAGGCAGAAGATTATGCATCCCAGCTCGATCTCAGGAAAGTCATTACAAATGATTGTGCAGATTCCTTGGGCTTGCCAACCGACAGGTGTACTACATCAACAGCTATGGGCAACGGAAGTATGAAGATAAGCTGGATCACAGTAAGCTTACTTCGATTCTCGAAGAACTACAGGTGGATTCGAAGGCAAATGTTCGCTCATGCCACAAAATCGAACCTCCTTCGAAGGTCGCACATGCACACCCGTTTATGCCAACCTTCTTGTGGGATGCCCAAGGGCAATACCATCCCGACCACTTTTTGTACGCTCGTACGACAGGCGTTTACCCTGCCTTGTGTCACGATGGGCAGGGAAGTCGCTTTGTAAGAGCTTGTTCGGGTTTACAATGCATATGTGAAGAATTCTGTACGACAAAGGTGTGGAAGGTCAGATGCAAGCCCGATTAACAATCGGTAAGGGAGACAACTGACAGCGAAACCAAAGACGATATCCTCTTCTTTCTCAACGCGATCGACAGCCGGACCAGAGACGCAAGTCATGGCAATAGCATTCGCGCCTCATGTGTACGGGACGGTCATTTACAGGATCACATCACCACAGTCATGATGATCTGGTGTTACTTCATCGAAGGCAATGTGTGGCCTCCAGATCTGACCTATTGAAGCATGACGTATTACGAAAAAGAGATGCGCTGTTCTACACGACATTTTCCGAGGATATATCACCCTCACAGGACTTGCAGGGGAATGCATCACATCCCACGAGCTTCACTCTGCTAATGCTCATTCGCTTTGTTGCACCCTTTCTAAGGCGAGTGTCGAAGAAAGGGCCTGCAATCTGAGGCAGAAGATACATGCATCAGTACTTCTTGTCAAGGTTACAAGGGCCATGATAACCGGCTTTCTAACAACCAAACTGCAGGAATACTCTAGGTTCGTGTCACCACAGCAGCCCATCAATGCTGAGAAGACCTGCAGAGAGAGCCTGTTCCGAATCGTTTCAAGTAAACATTTATAGTTCGGCGGTCAGATAAGCTCATACGGCGCTTAATCTTACTAGAAGCGTCTGACAAATGAATCTCATCATAGCCTGCCACAGCTACTGCAGGTACACATAGAGAAGCGGATGAAAACGACTAAGAGTCAAGTTGTACTAGGAAGGCTCGATGCACTAACACTGCAAGTGAAACACCTTGGAGTTCCGACTGCAATCGACTTTGCTGCCTCGGCAACATTACTTTATTCTCCGTTACAGTTTCACAGACGCAGGCTCATGCAGAACCATTTGCAAAGCAGAAACGAAAAATACGGCGGAGGACACATGTATTACGGAAAAACACAGACCTTCGTGACCGCTACGAACAGAACCTGAGTATAGAATACACTAGAAGTGTTGTCGCCAGCTCGGGCGACCTGTCTTGATAAGGCTACGGGATTGAGGGGTCAGCCAGCACTACTTTTCGTACAATCACAACATCTGATGACCTGTTGTGGGAGAATGATGCAATTTGGGACGGACCACTCTTGTTAATCTTTTTCTTTTCGATCACGACGACGAGCTGATTTGTGCAAGATCTATCTACAACCAAACTTCTCGTATGAAACCGGAGGAGCCAGAGTCATCAATCGTCGAGGCTTTCAAAGAACCCGGAAGTATGTGCTTTTCCCTTCCAGACAAAATCCAAAGCCCAGCGGGCTCCAAGAGGGAGCAGACCATGTTGTTTATGCGCCAATTGAACCAGCTTGCACCCTTCAGGTACATCATATTTTCCACGCCATTTGTGATTTCCTCCCGTTCCATCAATTGCGCATAACCCGTTGTTTTTTCGGTACCGCTAACTTAACCTGATCTCCTGGCCTTCTCCGAGAATCTCAACCGTTCTTCCATTCTCATCCAAACTCCTCCGACCCGCTTCCAGGATGGCCGTTGTGTAGACAGTGTTCGCCAGAGTGGGAAGTCCTCGTTTATCTAAATCTACCAGGCTGATTTTGCCCTCATTCAAACCGGTCACGGCATCGATGAATTTCTCAAAGCTCACGTAGCCGTATCCCGACTGCCCATTGAAGTTGCCTTCCTCGTCCGGCGCATATCGCATGTAGAAGGGGTTGTACCATTTCAGGGCACTTCCGGATTTGTCGTTCTCGTCCACGACATCATAGCCTCGCTTGGCCTGGTTGATGTTGACTTCACCCTTGGACGCGATGTAGTGGAAATGCTGCTGTGAGTGGACACCGGCATTCATCGGGGCGGTCCAGCTGGCGGTGTAGATTCCGGTGGCGCGCTTGTCATCGGTGCTTCGCGTCCAGTCCACGAGCAGAGTGATGGTGTCCTCGGTGCCCTTGACACAGCCCACGGCTTCGGAGATGCCCACGCTGGCGCTCGCCCGCACCGTCGCAGGCCGCCATGCCGCGTCTCGCACCAGCCACTCGCAGATATCGACGTGGTGTGAGTTCAAGTAGTAGGAGATGTCAGACTCCTTGCCAGCCCACGCTTTGAACGTCTCCAATTGAGATTTCGGCTGTGACATGTAGCTGTAGAAGTAGTTGAAATCACCGAGATTGCGAGATCGGAACTTGGCGTCTTGATATGCCGGGTCGAATCGTTTGTGATGCTCGATGTAGACGAGCACCTGATGCTTCTTAGCCAATTGAATCAGTTCGACGTGGTGCGATAGCAATTTCGTGGCCGGCTTGGTGATCATGACGTGAATTCCACGTTCAATAGCGTACTTGGCGATATCAAAGTGGGTGGAGTCGGGGGTGAATATGGTGATTGCTGAGCCTCGCGGAAGAGCGTCTATGGCGGTCCGGAAGGCTTCTGGGTCTGTCTGATCGTCTGATGGGAACGATTTGAAAGAGACGTCAAGACCATTGTAGGCGTCGGAGATGTTCTTCTGCAGGTGCTCTCGTATGGCTGGGAACTTCTTGCCCGAGACACCCACCATAGACAGATCTGACACCTTGCCACGGCGGCGGAGGTCGAATACTAGTGATTGAAGCCTACTTAGTCTCGTGTTCACAACAGTGCGGTAGGTAGGTCACAGGCCGAGCCCCTTGTACTGTTTTCCATAGCGTCCATTGCCCATTTCCACTTTCATCTGATGGCACTGGGGTGTTGATCGGAACTTGATGAAAATAATTTCATTTACTTACATGTCAATCCAACCACGCCAACCTTCTTGTCAGATGTCGAGGCAGCACCTGATACGAAACCTGTCGTATACTCACCGGTCCCGATCATCAGAACAGCTGGTGGCGCCATAGTGTCCTCGGGTATCAAGTGCAGCTTCTAAGTCGATGTTGGTTGCAAGTTATTGAAGTGCAGCATCTAAAGCGATGGCAGCCTTTGGAGACAGACAAGAATGGAGGCTTGATGATTGATCGAACAACAGGAGGTTAGGAATTATATGAAGCGAAAGTGACACAAAGTTGCAATATCTGCAAAGACTTTGTTTGTCAAGTGAATATTTTCCTTCAATAACCAAAGGGAGGCCCCCACGGCAGGTGATGAAAGATGTATTGTTCTTTGACGCCGAGCATTTGAATTGAGTGGATATCTCGTATTCCGGAGACTTCACCTGAGCTATGATCTATCTATCTACCTAACCAGGCAGATTTCGTTTTGTACCATCTACTCACCATGGCCTGGAGACACCTGAAAGTATTGTGGTCGTCCCGAAGTCATTCCCCCACCCAGTATTGACCCCCAAATCGCCCAGCAGCGGGGGGCAGAACGGCCAAGCCAATTTGGAGGTCGCCAACTATTCCGTCATCGAATTTGGTGTTGGAGATCGGACCTCGTCGCCGAAAATCTTGTCACCAGTTCCCCATGAATTCTTCTCCATTCAATGAATTGTTGCCGACGAACACATGCAACTGCCAAAGGCTGAGTATGCAATCGACGCTATATAGCAGGTACTTAGTTGCTCAGTCTTGCTCCCCATGTGTGGTTTACCAGGTAAAACGAGCTGAAGACGTCCGCGACGCGAAGATGAGATGTCAGGCTTAGTTTTTCTCCCACTTGTCTCCTCGAACTTCCATCATAGCTGACTCTTAGTTGTGGTATGGCTTTCGTGGAGAGACTTACTCGCCTGGCTGATTGATTCCAGCAATATGGATCAATCGTCAGAATTCTCTCCGAGTTCCATGGCTGGCGCCTGCTGGCGCCTGCCTGTGTTTGCGGCCTGCTCCAAAATGGGTGACTTGGGTATTTCTTTCTCGAGGAACCATTTCTGTGGCAGAGCCACTGCCATTTCGATACAAATCAGGATGTTCGTACGCTTGTCTCAACAAGTTAAACCTGTCAACCGAGGCGACTTGAAACTTTCCTAATGCCTTTCTGCAGTCAATGTTATATTGACACGGTTACATTCCCACATAGCCTCGCCAGCTGGCGAGACTTTAAATGGAATGGTGTGCGAGCGTTAACCGCCACAATTCGGTTGGAGGAATCCCAATGTACATGTGAATAAGGTTCACAGGGCTCAGTCGCCAGTAGCCCTACATGTACGAGGCCTCGTTCCTGGAAAACAAATGTACAAAGATATACGGTCGAGTATAAGAGAATCTCGTGTCTATCAGCGACGCCTCCTTTGGTCCCATTGGTTTTGACAACCAGCGAACCGACTGGCCAGCCGAGTTACCTTGCAGTTGGCTCAATGCGCCCATGTCGGCTTGTCTACGGAGTACATTCTGTTGGGGGATCTTGAATACCGACATTTCAGGCTATACCAAGAGTGGTTCGAGGTTCGATGCCCGGCCACGCACAACAGGATGAAGCCTCCGCCGGATGCATCAGGTCTTAGCGAGTATACAGCATTACCCATTAAACCGACTCCCGAATATCTTTGCCCGGCTCCAGGACTGTGCCCGGAGCATGTGTTGGTCTAAATAAAGTGCTCTTTACTAAGCGGATAGGGTTCAGGCATTCTCTGGTCCATATTCGCTCAGTGTTCGATTGCCTTTGAGTATCGATGCACCAGTCGTTGGCCACTTGGCATCGACTTGCTCAATATGTTCGAATGCTGGTACCACCTGCCGCCTTGAGGTGATTGGAGTTATCTCTTGTGGAGAGATGCTTGATTGCACTCCATGACGCAGTCTTTAACGATGGTGACTTCCATGTTTAACCATCCCTTCTTGTAGCAAGAGGGCATGATTCAATCGAAAATTATGGACGTTAGTCCCAAGGCCGTCTTCAATCGACTCAGTCTCTGGCATCCCAGTCTTGCAGGCATGGTCTCCTCGAGGCGGACTGCATTGCAAGGCTGAGTTTGTATGCGCTTGACGACTAGAGGGCAACCGAGGTGAGCTGAGGAAAATGACCAATGGAAGTAAAATGTTCCTGGTGAATGCGGATTCTCGGGCAAAATACCTTAGACGCCGAGAATATACCATTCCAACTGGGAACGATTCCACCGTTTCAACTTGTTTTTTGTTAGCCTTGAGCCTCCCATCACTGCAACTCCGTCGCGAAAGCGATGCTACTAAAGGTTAACCTATGTAAGCACTCGGGGTCGCCGTTCGGTGTACACCTTAAAAGCAGCACCACTTCTTCACCTACTGGTCGTGAAGAGTAAATTCCCGACCGCAACTGCTACACTTCCAGGATATGGATCATATTCGGCCAATTTGCTCGAGAGAGACCTGGGGCTGAAAATACGATTGTGTCCGATGTCTGCTCCGTAACGCCGCCTCCTACGGGGTATCGTGATTAGCTGGGTCCGAGACACGTTTCATGAAGATCGCCCCCACCACAACGGACCATTCACAGCGCCGTTTAGTTTTCTCGAATATGGTTAATGGTATACAACAATCATTGGGGCTGACTGCACGCAAGGCGATCTGGAGTACGAGCAGTAATATTGCCCCTTATTACTAACTGCCGAGGTATCAGTCTTAGATCAGCAAGTAGTTATGGACATTGTTTCCTGTTACTGCCGTGGTCGAAGGTCAAGAAATTTGGTGGTTCGGCCCCAAGCGGGGCGTCAATTTGTACAATGTGATCAGGCGTGTTTTCTTTATGCTTCCAAAGGGCCCACAGGTAGATTCCAGAGACCTATGTCATGAGGAGCATTCTAGAATGGCCGCGGAGACATGCCAGCATATATGGCACAAATATCAGGTATGGCCAAGGATATGCAGGGATTCGATGAGGGTGATCACATATTTGCCCATGCATGCGAGCTGGAGTTACAACTGGCTGCTTTATCAATTGTCAATCTGTACAGAAAGATGCCAAAAGACTCGAAAATTGCAAGGTGAACTAGACTTGCGGGATGTCCCTCCGCCGCTCTGCTGAATTCGCGCTCGGGAGACGGCAAAGATGGTGGAGTGACCTGCCTTTGTTACGGACGATTGAGGTGGTATGGCCATCTAGCAGATCGTGAAACGGGGCCGAGCCCTCAACTGGTTGGGCCTGGTAAAATAAATCTAGTACTTGGTACTCGTTACAAGGGTAGTAAGTACGTACGAGTAGTAGTGGAAGAGTTGTCGTCCTGGGAGGATACACAGCTCTTACACAGTGGCCAATTGTAGCTTTCTGCAAGTCAGACCCCAGCAAGCTCTTCAAAGTAGCGGCCTCGGAGCTGACACTCGTTGGTGCGGTTAGGGCTCCAGGAACGCCACAAATGGCTGCTTTCGTACTGCGGCGAATCAGAGGGGATTACCGTTTGCCGTTCTAGTCATAGTGCGACCGCGATATGCTTAGATAATGGGACATGAATACATTTCATGTTGTGACCGACACCAAGAGGCATGGCACCTTAGGTGAGGTTGATTCCTATCGAATGAAAGCGCTCGAAAACATGGAATTGGGTCTCTTCTCGGTTTGTGTAAGACCGCGTTGATTCAGATAGGACACAATTTCCATAGGGCATTGTACAGACTGGGTTAAGCTCAATGAAACCAAACTGCCGGCCAGATTATACTCCCTAGAAATGCCACAGGCTGCGAATTGTGGAGCCTTTATATGACTCCTGTTAGTAAGATGACCATTCATCTTAAATGTTCATAAAGCCACAAATGCAAAGGTCTTTTTGATTTCAGAAACTGCCAAATCGACATTGACTCCATGAATCAGAACAGCGTTGTATTAGAGTGCGGACAAAGAAAAAACAATCAACCAAGAATGACAATAGGAAGACCAAGATTGCCGGGGACAGAGGCAGAGCGAGCCGAGGCGAGACGAGCAAAGGTTCGAGCCAATGTCCAGGCATTTCGAAAACGCCAAAAAGACAAGAAGCTATCAGAGGAAAGTGCAAGCCCTGAATCTGGCAACGACTCATGCACATCGGGACAGGCTTTAACTTCTCGTCTCCAGTCCTCATCGCCTTTGCCTCCTCTGGACAGACTATCACTGAAAGAGAGCAATCGCCAAGAATCACCAGAGTCTAGCGATGGGGAAGTCTCCATGGACTCGGGATCATGGCTTTGGGCCATTCAATCTGAGATGGGTCTCAGGATCAGCAGCAAATTCTACCATGAGGCAATTTTGAGTAGCTTGAACGGCAATAGCAAGTGCCAAAATTCACCGTCAACATATGAATCAATACAGTCCGGCTCTAAAGAAAGATTCACCATCTGCTGTTCCAGTTGGATCACATCAGCAACATTGGAAATGGGAAGATGTGAAACGGACGTGCTAATGGAGGCATTAGTCGGTGCATCGTTGGCTATCATGGGAAGGGAGCAGCAGGACTCAGAAATGAGACTTCAGGCCGCCTACGCACAAAGCCGCGCACTGAGGAGGTTGAGGTATTCGATCACGCGGTACGAGGAAGGCGACAACAGCGTGGACACAGTGCTACTGTCCTTGACAGCACTGACATGTGCAATGTCTGAACTGATAGCAAATCAATCATGGGCCAACTTCAATCGCCATCTGCTGGGAGTGGGAGCTCTCATCTTTCATAGCGGTCCTGGAGCGCTTGAGCAGCAGTCAATCAGACAACATTTTTTCGGCTATCGCGCCATGCAGACCCCCTTTCTTTTCATGGATCGCCAGACAGCATTTCTGGCAAGTCCAGAATGGATTGAATTCCCGGAAAAGAGTGCCTGCCGACTGGCTCAGCAGCCGCTGCATACGATGCTGGATATTGCCCTAAAAATTCTCCCAGAAATCGTCAAACAGGAGATGGCAAAGAAGTGGAAGACTTCGACTCTGAAGGAACGTCTGCAGTTTGCATGGAACACTGTCGCAGAGCTAGAGTCCTGGGAGAGGCGTTTGCGGTCAGGGCACAAGGGACCCCTCTACACTAAAAGAAATGCATTGTGGAAGGGAATGGACGAAAACGCATTTGAGTTTACTTCATCATCTTCAGCCATCGCCTTTACCATGTACACAGCCGTCAGGATCCACGTCGCCAGTCTCATCGCAAGCGTCTCAAGTTCGCTTCTCTTACGAGAACCCCACGCGGACGTACGTCCTCACGCGGCTATGCTGGAGGCGTACAGATGGTCTCGGATTGCCTGCCAATGCCTCGAGTTCTTCCACAATGATAAACCTAAAGTTAATGGACGCATCATCACTCTATGGCCATTGGAAACAGCCTGGGAGCTATTTTCTCATCTCCAGGCAGACAAGTGTGTAGACGTATCGAAAGAGATGGCGTGGTGTCAGGGTACCGCAGAAAGACTGTCTTCGATGGGAATACCTCCGTTCCAGTGGAGGTGATAAGACGCCATGGACACCCTTCGATTGGCGGTTTACCCAGGGTTGAACGAGGCTGTGTCGTTTGATACACACTGGGACTGGCTGTATGAGACGGGTGAACCAAGAAACAAACCGCGACAAGGCACAGCCTCCCTCTAAGTTTTCTCGGATGATGGTACCACTTTGCTCATTCCGTGGAAAGCCGAACCACTCGCTGTTGCGAGATGTTGACAGTTTCTCAACAGGACTCGATGATGGTCAGAGGATCGTGAGACAGAGTTGTGTTTCTCGAGGTCGCCAAGCGACAGAGGCAAAATCAATCTAAGTGGCCAAACGGGGAATTAACCTGAAATGGTTGAACACAGCCTCAAAATGAAGAGAGCTCTGCATAAAACTCAACAGTCTCAAGGGGTGATCTCCATAGACTATTGGCATCTATCCGGTTGTCCCCGCATGTTATAGAAGTGGGTGCGGAGCATCTCGCTCGAGAATCGGATGCTCACTATGCACAAAGTGTTTCGTCTAATATGGTTGAGAGCTTGAGAGGGTGATCAGTGGAGTATGATCGAGAGACTTTAACGGAGGTTGGAAAGCTTGATATGCTCAGCCACTGGGTGGTGGCAAGTCGAACTTGGCACCAACGAGATCACGTGGTAAATATGTGGCGTGCAAATATGTGGCGCATAGGAGGTGTGGCTGGTGCCAGCTGGCCAGATGCCCGGCATCACCGTAAAGAACTCGGTTATGCCAAAATCACCAACTCAAATTCTTCCCTCTTCCTCGTGAATACGTACCCTCTTCAGCAAGTGAGGCCTGGCTCGTAGGCTAAGTTTCCTGATCATCGATCTTTCCAAGCTGGACTGACGCTTTCGACTGACAGCAGTACCCTGCCCGATCAGTGAGACTCGAAGCCAGCCCTCGATTATTCCCCAGGGGAACACTGATAACATCAATGACGCAGGTCAAGAGAAACAAGACAAGGCCAAGGATCAATTTGACCGTTGGCCAAGCTGAGCTCCGATCATGAGCGAATCTCACGTCGCCAGAGAAACCAACTGGCTGACATTAGCCCCATTCTGTGAAGAGAAGTTGGAGCTTAATCAAGTTTATCACTGATCATCGAAGCAGACAAGCAAAAAAGAAACAACACATGGGGCTTGGAACTTTGGATACCAGTTGAAGCAACTTGAAGTTGTGGTGAGGATCTCCAGGAGCTGCCAAGCCCACAGCATAGGGGGGGGACAAACTTGACTGTTTTCGGAGACCAGCGAATGTTTTTCCCGCATGGTACATCCCATCACAACTCCATCAAGGGACACGGATGTCTGCGCTGTGCAACCAAATGGCAATGAAACATAATATTCCAAACAACTGGATCTCTCATTTCAGAGAGACTGGGCGTCTTCTCAAACCAACCTGGATCTACCGCCCGGGGACTGTGAAATATGTGCCTTGGAGTGGTCTCATTCGCTGTAGGTCCGTTGCCCAGAAGCTGCCTTCTTGCACAGCCCCCTCAAGTCACACTTGGCTAGAACTCTCCCTGCCTGCCCATGCTCCGTTCAACGCCTCAGAGCTCCGTGAACTGCGGACCTTCTGCAAACTAGAAACGCCCAATTCCTTCATGAAAATCTTATCGAGGCAAACACAAGCATACTCCGTCATCATAACCTCGTATATACTCAGAGCCCGGATTGTATTCAAGTTGCCTTCTCATCCTCAGCCCCATCCCATCTCCTTGAGTGAGCCTCTCCAATATTGGGTTTTTGGAAGTACGATAGAAGGCTGTGGACGGATTATGGTCTAACAACATCATCCAACTTCTCAAAATCTTTCACAGGTCAGGCATCAGCCACTTTCCTACTGAACAAAGCCCACCATGGAGGGCCGTTCATCACCAAATCCGATGGCACCCAAGATTACTCTTGATACTTCAGTAAGTCTGAATGAAACATTGCAACAGTCCCTTCTGGCATCTCTAACAATGGCACAGAACTTGACAGAACAAGCAGAGTCAACGGTTTCACCAATTTCACCATTACACAGGAGGGGCCCTAGCATGTCCACACCGCCTGGAACGGCTATAGATGAAAGCTCATATCTCTCACCGACTACTCCTGAGCGAAAACATGCCTTCGATGGATCAACGCTCAATTCTAGATCCGGGTCGTTACAATCAAACGACCCGACGACTCGATTTCGATCCAACTCGGGCATCTCGGCTACCTCTACTGTCACTGTACATTCGAAAACCAGTCTCGAATACGAGTCGCCAGAGGACGCCTTGCAACCAGACAAAGGTAACGAAAAGGACTTCAATGTTGAGAACAATCCATTCGCGTTCTCGCCCGGTATGCTGAACAAGCTCCTGAATCCAAAGTCTCTATCAGCTTTCAAAGCGTTGGGTGGTCCACGAGGATTAGCCAAAGGGTTGAGGACTAGTCTCACTGCTGGTCTGTCAATGGACGAGACGAGACTCGATGGCCAAGTCACCTTGGAAGATGTTTCAAGGTCAGTATCGGAAAAAGGCAACTTCACAGATGTGCCTCTTTCGCGACACGCATCAAATGCATCGGTGCGCGAAGTAAAAGATCAATTCGAAGATCGACATCGCGTCTTTCGAGACAATCGATTACCAGAGCGGAAACCTGATGGGATTCTGGTCCTGATCTGGAGAGCATACAACGACAAAATCCTCATTTTGTTGACAATTGCCGCGGTCATTTCTCTGGCACTCGGCATCTACGAAAGTGTCGCTGGCGAGTCTGGCGTCGACTGGGTGGAGGGTGTAGCCATTTGTGTCGCCATCATTATCGTCGTTACGGTTGGAGCAGCAAATGACTGGCAGAAAGAACGACAATTTGTCAAGCTCAATAAGCGGGTAAGTAGCTCTATTTTGCTCTACTGGGCCGCCAGAAAATATGCTAACCCATTAACTACAGAAAGATGACCGCGAAGTCAAGGTTATTCGATCAGGGAAATCCGTCATGATGTCGGTTCACGACATCACGGCTGGTGATATTCTTCATCTAGAGCCCGGCGATGCCATTCCAGCGGACGGTATTCTCATCACTGGTCACGGTGTTAAGTGTGACGAGTCATCTGCTACTGGAGAATCCGATCAAATGAAGAAAACTCCTGGTGATGAGGTTTGGAACCGAATCCAGGACGGGACTGCCACAGCCAAACTCGATCCCTTCATCATTAGCGGTTCCAAGGTTCTTGAAGGCGTTGGCACATATCTCGTCACCAGCGTCGGCGTCAACAGCTCTTACGGCAAGATTTTGATGAGTCTCCAAACCGATAACGACCCGACCCCTCTTCAAGTCAAGCTTGGAAAGCTCGCGAACTGGATCGGTGGACTCGGTTCAGGCGCTGCTATCCTTCTGTTCTTCGTTCTCCTGTTCAAATTTCTCGGACATCTGTCGAGCGACACACGACCTGGCCCAGAGAAAGCGCAGGAATTCCTGGACATCCTGATTGTTGCTATTACTGTCATCGTTGTGGCCGTGCCCGAAGGTCTGCCTCTGGCTGTAACTCTGGCACTTGCTTTTGCTACGACTCGAATGCTAAAGGAGAACAACCTGGTGCGCGAGCTTCGTGCTTGTGAAACTATGGGCAATGCTACAACGATTTGCTCCGACAAGACTGGAACTCTTACACAAAACAAGATGACGGTGGTAGCTGGCACCATTGGCTCGACTGAGCAATTCGCTTCTTCACATTCGGGGGAGAAGTCCAAGGCTACGCCATCTGCCACGATGTTTGGAAAGCTCAACGCAGAAGTCAAAGACCTCTTCAAACTCTCCTTCACACTCAACAGTACCGCATTTGCAGGTGAGGAGAAAGGAGTTGCAACATTTATTGGTTCGAAGACCGAAGTTGCACTTCTCACACTTGCGAAGGAGCAACTGGGACTAGATGATCTGGCTGCAGAACGCTCAAGCTACAAGATCAAGCAACTCTTCCCGTTCGACTCCAGCCGAAAATGTATGGGGATTGTGATCAAACAGCACGGTGGTTATCGCCTTTTGGTCAAGGGTGCTGCAGAGATCATGCTTGCAAACGCGACCAAGACAATTTCAAATATTTACGAAAGGCAATTCCAAGTTGATGACTTCACCAGCGAGGAGAAGGAACATGCCGCGGCCATTATCGACGAGTATGCAAAGCAGTCTCTCCGCACTATTGGTATTCTCTACAAGGACTTCCCACAATGGCCACCTGCTGGCGCAAAGACTTTGGAAGAAGATCCAAAGATGGCCGACTTCGGTGATATCTTCCATGAAATGACATGGGTTGGCGTTGTAGGTATCCATGATCCTCTCCGTGATGGAGTCATTGAAGCAGTCTCTCAATGTCGACTCTCTGGTGTTGTGGTCCGCATGGTCACTGGTGATAACATCACAACCGCTCGTGCCATTGCTACCGACTGTGGCATCCTGCGCTCAGATGAAGAAGGCATTGTTATGGAAGGACCCAAGTTCCGCCAACTCTCCAACGAAGAAATGGACAGCATTCTCCCCAAGCTCCGTGTTTTAGCCCGATCATCACCTGAAGACAAGCGGATTTTGGTCGGCAGACTTAAGCATCTTGGCGAGACGGTCGCGGTTACTGGTGACGGTACCAACGATGGCCCAGCTCTAAAGATGGCAGATGTCGGTTTCAGTATGGGTATCGCAGGTACGGAAGTTGCCAAGGAGGCTTCGTCAATCATCCTTCTCGACGACAACTTCTCCTCCACGATCACCGCTCTCATGTGGGGCCGAGCCGTCAACGATGCTGTCAAGAAATTCTTACAGTTCCAGATCACCGTCAACATCACAGCTGTAGTACTGACGTTTGTCTCTGCGGTCTCCAACGACTCCAATCACTCTGTGCTTACCGCCGTTCAGCTTCTCTGGGTCAATCTCATCATGGATACCCTGGCTGCACTTGCACTGGCCACTGATGCCCCCACGAAGAAGATTCTTGATCGTCCACCACAACCCAAATCTGAAGCTCTCATTACCATCAATATGTGGAAGATGATTGTCGGCCAGGCCATTTATCAACTCGTCGTGACCTTCACACTCTACTTCGCGGGCATGCGTATCTTCAGCTATCGACCCGAACAGCAGATTGAATTGAACACAATCGTCTTCAACTCTTTCGTTTGGATGCAGATCTTCAACGAATTCAACAACCGCCGTCTGGACAACAAGTTTAATATCTTCGAGGGTATCCACAAGAATTTCTGGTTCCAGGGCATCAACTGCATCATGGTTGGTGGACAGATTATGATCATCTTCATTGGTGGTCGCGCCTTCAGCATCACCCGTCTCAACGGCACCCAATGGGCAATTTCTCTGCTCTGCGCGCTCCCCTGTCTCTTATGGGCTGTTTTGGTCCGTCTATTCCCAGACGCGATCTTTGCAGTTGGCTTCAATGCCTGTGTCGGCGCAATGTCGTTTGTGCTCCGCCCAATCTGGAAGGTTCTACACATTATCTTCCACCCCGTCGCACAGGTCTTCCGCGCCATGTCTCGCGTCGCCAAGCGCGCCTTTGGTAAGAAGAAGACTGAAGAGGACGAGGCGGAACAGCCAATCGATGAAGAACGCCCATCGACTAGCTATCCCGGATCGCGACCAAAGACTATGGACACAGAGTCTGCTGAGCGCTCTGGACTGACTCCTGCTTCGACTGCCACAGAGGGAAATTTCGTCACCAGCAATGGGATGAATGGAAAAGGCAACTCAACGCCTTTGAACGAGATACCTGTCCCATCCGTGTCCGTCACAACACCGAGATGAAAACTTAAGACAGCTAGCTCAATGGCATGTTTAACAGACTCAGTATACCTCCTGCAACCCCGCGTCCTGAGAGAATACCCGCGTTTCGGGCTCAACATGGCCCTCGAGGGCCGGAGGGAAGCGGCGCACGCCGACACCCACTCCTGGACGAACCAGCTTCCAGCCATGGACATCTGCGCAACGCAATGTAGTGGTATCCCCACTCCAACGCATTGCAAGCAGGCACGCTGCTTTCGGAGAAGAGCCTGTCACACATTGGACTACGCTACCCAGCATGGCCAACGTCCTTGAACATACATCCTCAGACCAACCAGCTACGTCATCAATCGTAACGCGCACGGCGCACCAGCGCTCATGTATCAATTCCAACCCCGGGTCGGAATTCTGCAACCAACAATTTTGTTTTTTTGTTATTCGGGATCTTGAACCATCGTACTTTTAAATCACAGTTACCCACGAAACGGCGTTTTCATGGCGCAAGCAACGCACTCACTCACTTTATGTATTTCTACTATCGAGTCCCACATACGTACGTACATACATACACGACCTGGAATCTATCTCTGGCTCTGGCGTTCAAGAAACCTCTCCGGGCTCGGCGCGTGGGGGACACAAAAAGAACTTTTTTTTTTTTTTTTTTTTTGGCAAAGGGACTTGGGAGGAGGAGCCCGGCAGCACAACCGCAGGGGGGGGAAATTTTTGTTTTT